TAGTATGACTTATAAATTAACTATATTTAATTAGGAAGAAAATGAAATATGTTATCGATATATTTATTGGATCCTCATATTCTATGATGATATTATCAAGCTTTAAAAAGATTAATTAGTCTAAATTTATAGATAATGTTAAATTCATCTATAAATTACTGAATTATATAAGATTTATATTTAGCTAAATAAGTCGAACCAAACCATAAAAAGGTTGTCGATATTTTTTTCTCAAAATTATTAAATCTAATAATTATTTCATATACTTTTTCTAATCTAAAAAATAAAGTTAATTTACTATCAACATATTTAATTATTGTATGAAATTATTTATGATACTTATTGTTTTGGTATTTTCAACTCCATCATCTGTGATTTATGAGTTTAATGCAAATTCCTAAATAAATGATGGTAATTTATTAGAATTTTTATATAGGATGGGTTATTAGAGATAATGACTGTTTTTTTTATAATTGCGGAGGGATTTTTTATTTTGGCTAACCTCTTAATGATGATAATCCAATTTGGATTAGCAGATTATTTTCAAATCTACAAGACCATTCTCACATTTTAGTAGAGGCTAAAGTTTTGAGGTAATGAAATTTAATTATTTCAAAAGAATGTATACCTCTGATCCTTTTGTCATTGAATTAGACTATATTACAGCTCAATAGTCACTCACTACATCTTCATCTACAAGTTCAGTTTGCTCCGGTTCATAAGTATTTACTATAACTACAGCCCTTTTTAAACACAATAGAAGAACTCTTTGGATAACAGCTCATTTCTTTAATGCTGGAGGTTTACTGTCATTAAAAATAAGCATGATTAATTGTTATTATGACTGTCCTGGGTGCATAGAGAATTACAAAATATTTTGCTTATCATGGAAACTGCATTAATATTCATTTGGTGAAAAATTGATTACAGATTCTGATGGATGGATATTTGAACCAACTTTTTCATCTAGTTTCAATTGCGGTGGATGTAAATTTGTGTATTTTTTTGAAACTAGTTATTCTACTCAACTGCCTATTCATTAAGATTTATTAATTAGGCTTTATAAAGGAAACACAATGATAATAATAGACTATGTAAAAGGTAAAAAAACTTATAGTTATGATGTCTAACTAGTAGAAATATTAATAGAAAATCATCTTGATCCAATTCTATAACTGAATATTAAATCTCAACCAAGCACTGACCGTGGTTAAATAAGAGATTTTGAATTATATTACACTAAACCAAAAATAACAATAAATAAACCAAATGAAGGTTGTTTAGAATAAATTGATACTAGATGCCTGATTTGTTAAGATGGTTGGATTTATGATCAATTTCTTGAAAATTGTCATCCAATTTGTGATGATAAAGGATTATTATGTCAAACAAGAAATTTTGAGGTTTCTTCCACTTAAACAAAAATAGAAATAAATAAATTTAATGAAGGGTGCCTAGAGTAAATTGATAATAGATGCCTAATTTGTAAAGAAGGTTGGATTTAAGATAAGTTTCTTGAAAATTGTCGTCCAATTTGCGGTGATGGAGTTATTCAAGGATAAGAAAAATGCGATGATGCTAATCTGATATCTAATGATTCTTGTTATTAATGTGAATATTCATGTATAAACTTTTGCAAAACTTGTGAATTTGGAATTTGTTTTGAATGTGTTTTTGGATACGATCTTAATGCTGATTTTAATTGTGTTCCTTTGTGTGGAGATGGCAATGTAATACCCTATTCGAATGAATAATGCGACCTGACAGATGATGGGGAATGGAATAATTGTTAAGATTGCCTTTATAAATTAATTGTTGGTTGTAAACATTAATTACTTTCAATGTGCTTGTAGTGTGAATTGGGATTTTAGCTTTCAGAAAATGCATGTTTTCCTCAATGTGGAGATAAATTCATTCTCTAATAATATGAGGAATGTGATGATGGAAATTTGCAACCTTATGATGGTTGCTTCTAATGCAAGTTTCAATGCCCAGAAGATTGTAACTTATGTGATAAAGGACAATGCATTTTGAAATGTGAAGATGGATACAAGTTTGTTAATAATAATTGCCTTTCTGTTTGTGGTGATCAAATAGTCACAAAAGAAGAGGATTGTGATGATGGCAATACAATCCAATTTGATGGTTGCTTCAATTGCATGTATTCTTATTCTTGTCCAGAAAATTGCTATGACTGCTATCAAGGTACTTGTTTAGAGTGCAATGATCAATACTAATTACTAATTTCAAATTAATGCAAACTATAAATAAATTGTGGAGATGGATATCTTTAGAAATATGAGGAATGTGATGATGGAAATTATGAGGCTTTAGATGGATGTAGGGATTGTTTGATTGAATAAAATTGGATATGCGTCACAATTATAAAAGACTCTCCTAGTTAATGTTCATTTTCCAAACCTCCGAATTTAGTAGTTACTTACCTCAACATGACTTCAAATAAATAATATATTAGAATCTAATTTAGTTAATAAGTAAAAATATACACAACTTCACCTTTATCAGAAGGAATAAATTTTAAATTATCAAATGTAAACAAGAAGAATTGGAATAGCAACTTATACATAATTTAAGATGTAGGATCATTTGTGAGTTTTGGAGAATATGTTATCGAAATAAATGTGCTATAATTACTTGAATTTAGACCTATCTTAACAATTTTGGTAAATTAGACAGTTGCTAATATAGACGATGTTGTAATGGATGAGCTTACAAAATCAATAACTTTACAATATCCATAATATCTTGATGAAACTTAGAAGGATTATTCTTAAGGGTTGAAAAGTTTAAATGCCTATTTAATCTATGGTTTGTCTGGGTTTGCCTGTGGAAATCTATTATTTGGAAGTGGGGATTTATTTATTGAAATTTTGGCAATCCTTTAATTTCAGCAATATTTGAAATACATTAATCTACAATTTCCGGAAAATTTAGAGATATATTTTTCTATTTATGATTTAGTAACAATAGAACCTCTATTAGACTTTATAGATTTTTCATAAATATTTTAATTCATCCAACTTTAGTAAAATGATTAACCATATTAGGAAGGAAAATTTAACATTTACAAATATGACCCAAGTTTGATCATTAATCTTTCAAGCCAAATATTATAAAGCTTAATATTTTTATTCCTTATCATTTTGTGTCAACTAATTAAAAAGACTATATACAAGCGCATATTTTGTTCTAAAAACTTTTACTATGCGTCATAATTATCCTTATATATCAACCCAAAGTTAATTGCTAAGTTTCAAGCCTTCTTTTATAACTTTTGCCTAGATTTGATTAATTTTAAAAAATTTATATCTTTTAAAGGTATGTAAAAAGCATTACTTCTAAATGGTTGGGATATGATATTTAAAACTCTATTGTATACACGGAATTTTTAAACTGACAATTCCTTAGATATTGTTCAACTTATTATGGCAAGCATAATTCTTCTTCTTTATTTTACCTTATTTCTAGGTATATTCAAAGATTAATAATAAAAAATGTAATAATAAGAAAGGTTTGAAATGCAAAGCTTCGGAAGATAATTTTTCTTTTTATTATTCCTTATTAATATTTAAGGATCTCAATTTTTTTAATTAGGATTACTCCTTTTGACAAGTATATTTTAGATTAGATTATTATTTAATTATCGAAAAGTTTAAATTAAAAAATAAATATATTGTTTAGATGGTGATTGAGATATCAGTATTGACTTTTATATTTAGTTCATACTTATACATGTAAGATTTTGATGAATATTTCAATGAAGAAAAAAAACTCATATTGGGATGGCTCCATATCACCATTTTATCTTTAGGCCTTATTGTAGAATTAATTGTGAACATCAAAGATGCATATGAGAAATGGAAAGAGATATATGAGAGTTAAAAACCTGAATTCGCAAAAATTCAATTATTTATATGAGAGTCTATTGTCAAATTGCTTGATTCAAGTTTTCATTTTTGTTCTATATTACAATTTTTTCAATAGAATTATGAATTAACTTTTTGTTAAGCACTCAGGAAGTAATAATTAAAAACAACAGTGTTTTATAATTTTGCTCTTTACCTCCATTTCTTTAAGATTTATTGAGATGTACTTCTCAGATTATATTGAATCATATTAAATATAAAATCAAAGAAATTCTATATGCAAACCATGTCATCCAAATCAATAAAATAGAGATAAAAATTCTAAAATTCTTAAATAGTTTCTTGTTAAAACCTACTTAGAAATGTTTACCTAATTTTTAATTTGTCTTTTAACAACTTAGAATCAGGAACTATTCTTTAGATTCAAACAATAACTGTGACTATTTATAATGATGAGTCGAATAATTAAGAAAATGTTGGATTTATTTTCAAAGGGGTAATTTAAGATGGTAGAGGAGTTATTGTAAAAATGAAACAAAAATTTCTTAATTTGAAAACCAGTTTCTAATGGCTTTGAAACTCAGAGAAAAGTTAGATAAAAAAATCTAGAATAATCAAAGAATTACCTAAAACTTAGGAAATATAAATAAATTCAAGATTTAAAATAATGGCAAAAGGAATTATTATAAAATGAATTAGGTTATAAATAGGAATGTTGATGAAGTAATTAATAAGCTAGAGAAAACTTAAATATATATTCTATTGTGATGCACTATATTAAATTATATTCTAAAAATAGAGATGTTTTACTTCATTTGATTGAGAAATCTATCATGGCTGACACATGTTAAAACGTGGCTTCATATACATAGCCATAATGAATTATATTTCTAAGTGAAATTAATTTGTTAAGATTCTTACCTACCTAGTGAAGAAGTTTAACTAGTTTAGTAAATTTTTTTTCTTCTGTATATAAGACCCTGAGGAGACATATATCAAATTCAAAGTAGTTGTATCCATAAATTTTTTAAGACTTAAAATTTTAAGCTCTGAATCCTAAGTAATTTGAGGTCACCCCAATAACGAAATTTATTTAAGGTATTTATTGCGGTATCATAAGTCCAAGCAAATAAACTTGTTTCCTTAAGTAATATTTGCAATACTCTTTAATAGATACAAAATAATTGTCAAATAGGAAGAAAGCCCTCCTCTATTTTGGAAATGGATCTTCTCCTTATTTGGATTATAAAATATATCCACTAATATATATCTTTATTATCTTTTCTAGAGAGAAGATATATCTTACCAACTCATCATTTGTAGGCTATGACCCATATTAAAAACAAAATCAATTAAGCCATTTCATTAAAATCTATTGTCATAACTCTTGGTATTTATTTATTTTAATTTGTTTTATCTTCAGGCTTTTAATTCAGCAAGAGCTATCAAATTGATCTTAAATCCCATAGCCTCAAAAGATTACTTGCATAAAAGTAAGCGTTGTAGATTATAATTTCCTTTTAATGTTAATCTTAATAACAAACATTTGCCTTGCTATTTTCATCTTTTTCTACCTTAAAGTTCAGTTGAACAAAATTTTCCTTAATTAAGATTCAAAAATAAACAGAAGCTCCTGTTTAATTAAATTATGCAAACCACTCTTTCAATTTAAACTCTTGATCAGACTATTTTGAGTTAAAATTTAGGAATTCAACTTTTAAATTAAAATTCACATTACTACCAAAAAATACAAAAGTAAAATAATTCCAATTAATCTTATTTTATTATTTCAAAAGATATTGCATAGATAAATTATTTAATACATCTTCTAGGTGCTAATAGAATATTTTTGAAATCCACAAGTCATGAACAATTTATTGATATTAATTATTGACAATTATATCCAAAAGGATAAGTTGCAATATATCAAATAAGATGTAAGAGATTTTTGTAAATCTTTGCAATACATACCCAATAATCAGTATTTCAATTAAAACTGCGTCTATATTTTAAAATAATCATAATTTTTGAATTTTGTTAGAATCCACAATAAAGTATTAATATAAATTGAAATTATTGCTATAATGATGACTTAGCAAATAAAAAGAGAGAAAATATTTAATTACAACATTTTTATATTGATATCCTTACTCTTTATATAGCAAAATGTTTATAATAATTTTATAATAAACTTCAATAAAGTTCATAAAAATAGAACAATTATTACTATTGAAATAGTAAATAGAAATTGATGGCAACTTTTACAAAAATAAGCCGAGTCTGAATGTTCTTTTAGAGTCCAATGATATGATTATCCAGTGTGAGTAAAACAAGTTGATGAATTAAAGACTTCCTCGCTAAGAGCATTAACACATGCTCCTGATTTCCATAAACATGGTTGTATACTTGAACCAGAAACTTAACTAAACAAACAGCTGTCTGCGGATTAATAACTCGAACATTGAACTGGCTCACAATATACATTCCAAGTGCATAAATCTTAGGTGTTGCAAATTGTTTGATTCAATTAACTGCATTATGTGACTGATTCACACTACATTCCATTAGAATAACATGTCGTTGGACAATTTTTGACGCTGAATTTATAACAATCTTATGTCGAAGTACATGAATTCCCAGATACCCATGAACATGAAGGGTTTTAACTCGAACAATTTTAAGGAGATGTTCCTTTTAACGTCTTACAGCTCTCAAATGTAGTGCAACTCTTAGTTTTTGAATTATAAGCGCACTATTATGAATGACTCTAACATGAAAATTAATCAAATTATGTGCAATTATTACTTTAGCAAGTATTTAAAGTAGTCCAATTACAATTTGCTAAACTGCATTCACTTTATAAACTTAACTCTTCACATTGACATTGTTGATATGTATCTACAGTCCATCCAAAAATTATAGACATTAAGATGAATATTATGATTACTATCTTCTCCTTCATAATTTTATTAATGACTTTAAAAGGAAAAAAATTTGATTATAAACCTTTTATGATACACTGGAAGTAAGATTTAGAATTTGCTTAGTATTATTTTATTTAATCTATATTATGAATATTCATGCACAATTTAATTTCTCTTCATTATTTTAATATTGATTTCCAAGACTCTAATCATCCTGATAACGAATATAACAAAATTAGGAAAAATCTCTCACCTGAAATTGATCTAGATTATATAGAATGAAATAAAATAATAAATTATTATAATTCTATAAGACAACCTAAAATAGCTTTAGAAAATTATATTAACAGAATATGATCGACAATATGGGAGTATCATTTTAAGCCAAAATAGAATTCATAAAATTACTAATCAAGCAAAACAATCTTAATTATCTATTAGTTTGTTAAATATTTCATTCACATCCTAAATTTCCCCAATTGTTTCCATTTTATGCAAACATTAATTGAATTATTTTTATAAATAAATTTTATTTAGTGATAGGGCAAAAGAAGTATTGATATTTAGAAATAGTTGTCTGTAAAGTTTACATTAAGATAATTTTTTTGGAATTAAATAAAATAAAAAATAATAAATATATTTATTAATTTTAATAGAAATAGTCATATAAAAAATTAGTTTTGAATATCGTTTTCCAGTTTAGAATCATATTAATTGTTTGTCTCTACTAATTATTTGCTAATCTGATAGACTTTGATTTGAAGATTACATCATAAGCTTCTAAATTTTTTATATTTATTAATATAATATTTTTCTTTAAATTTGATTCATGTCATACATTATCAGCAAATCATCAGCCTTTCAGTCAGGGTATATTAATTAGCAAGAGGATAATAAAACCTAAATCGTAATTATTTCTCCAGAGAGAATGAATGTTGAAAGGGATATTTATCTAAAATTGTAATAAAACAAATGCTTAAACATTGTTAAAATTCTAAGGATTTACGAGAATTAAATTGAGATTGAAGATGTACCGATGACATTATTATAATTTATGAAAAAAAGACAAGAATTATCATTAGAGCTCTCATTTCAAGAAATAAAATTAATAATGGCCTAAATTATCAATGGATATTAATACTTAAGATCTCTAGGAATCATTCATAGAAATTTAACTCCGCTAACAATACTAGTTCAATAAATTAAAGGTAGAATCATTATAAAAGTATTTTCTAAAATATTCCTTAGATATCAGACTTTAGTGTATCAAGTTTATTAAAGAATAATTAATTAGGAACATCGAGAGCTGGTACGCCAGCGTATTGGGCTCCTGAGATGATGTTTTAACCTTAAAATGGTTACGACGACAAATGTGATATATTTTCTGTAATTATTTTAACTATTGTAAGTTAGGAATTATTTTACATCAACTATGTTTTTAAACTTAAATGCCTTCAGAATTTAATGATTAATTTGAGCTTCAATAGTTTATGCAAAATTTACAGAGGCAGAATTTCAAATGTTAAAGAGTCACATAAAATATAGAAATTGTTGATTTGATAGAGAGAATGATAGTTTATGAGCCTCGAAAAAGGGTGAGTTGGGATGAACTTGCAAAAATTCCTTTTTTTTAGTCACCTTATCAACTATTAAATAATAGATATCTAGTTGACTTTTCTCAATAATTGGGAAGTGGTATGTAGGGAGTTATATTTTTAATATATGATTTAATGCAATCTATAGAATTATGTGCAAAAGTTGTTGAAACCAATTCTTACGAGGGAGGTTTGGAACTCTCAATTTATAAAAAATTGATTTTAAAATCAAATGCAAGAGGAAGAGAAAATATTATTAAAGTATTCGAATTAATTGATGATCAATACAAGACTTATGTGATTATGGAGAAATGCGATGAAAATATTCAATAATATTTTTAAAAATAGAAAACCATAAGCAATGAAGAAATTCTGGACTTCTTAAAATAAATTATTATAGGTTATAAATATTTGCAAGACCTAAGCATAATCCATAGGGATTTAAAGCCAGAAAATTTATTAATAAAATATGAAGGTGGAAGAAAGATTGTTAAGGTACACTTATATTTTTGAATTAGATTATTGATTTTGGAGTAAGCAAGATTTAATATCCTTAAAGTTTAGCTAAGACTGTTGCGGGAACTCCAATTTATTCTGCCCCAGAAGTTCTTGAACCCACTGGAAAGGGGTATACAAATAAATGTGATATTTATTCTGTAAAAAATAATGCAATATGTAGTTAGGGACTATGCTTCATTAATTTGTTTTTGGGTCACTATACTATAATGCATTTACTTTATAAGAATTAAAAGATTATCAAAAGAAATTAAAAATAAAACCATTCCAATGCCCAGGAAAATCTAGTAATATTTGTTTTAATCTTAGTTTTCAGTAATCTAATAGAAAAAATGTTAATATATGAACCTGAGTAAAGAATCACTTGGGAAGAGTTACTCGCAGAGGTTGAAAAACTATAATCATAATAAAACTTTATGGAAAGAGAATCTATTTTATATGATACAATATCGGCTTCAATACTGAGATATTTAGATTGCATTCAAATATTTTCATCTAAATTGGAATACGAATTGATATAATTTATTTAGAAGTAGCCTGAAAAGATAAAGTAGAAAGCCTTCTAGTTATTTTATTTTTTACTCTTTTTTAGTTAAGCAACATTGCTGGACTGTCAATAAATATTTGAAAAATAGCACATCTACATAGGGGGCTACACCTTAAAGCAAGAAACAGATTTTTAAAAAATTAACGAACAAAAATTACAAGGATACATAGAAACTCTTTAAGTAAGTATTGAAGCAATTTCGATCGATTAAGACTGGAATTTTAAGAAAGTGTAAGATGAAATGATGTCCGAGCTTGAAAACAAGAAATTGACATGCTGTGATATACATGAGTATTTCAATCGTATTTATAAGCCTTAAATACAAATATATTCTGAAGCATCTTGGAAATTGAGATACTATCTAACGAAAATGTCAAATATCTTTATAGATTATCCAATCATAAATATTAATCTCAATAAGATTTTGTATCCATAGTTAGCGGAGAAGATAAAAGATGAAAATGTTCAAAAATAATATTTAGAATTAAAATGGAATAGTTGATTTCTATCAATAGTATTTTTAGAATAATATTATAAATTATACTGTTTTTATACCTCATTAATCATCAAGAAATTGAGGATAATAATATTGATAATTATAAATTTTTTGATACCATTTAGTATGATTTCTTAAATGTAGAAAATAGTATGAATTATTAATTAATCATTTACATGTATGAATAAATCATATAAGTTTGGCATAGTAAATAATATTTAATTTGTCTAATTCAGAAATGAGTGCTGTCGATTTAAATTTAGAGAGAGACTAGTATAAGGATTTGCTAAAATGTATCAAAGATGAATCTTAATAAAATGCTTTGAGATATTAAAGTAACTCTCAATATAAGTACGAAAAGAGAAGAAAGGAAAAAAATGAATCTGATCATAAAGTATAGTTAGTCCTCCCCAGCATCGAAAGCAGTTCTTTGGAAGACATTTCATAACATTTTCATTCGATAAGGAGAATATAAGCAGGAGCATAACATTAATTGCTGGCAAATAAATCCTAGCAAAAGTTTATACAGTAGAGTTTTATGGAACTTGAATAATCAAAAATGTCTTAGACAGTCAGAGATATAACAATAACTGAGAAAAAATATTAATGCAATCAACGTAAGGTTCCGCATAGAGAACCATTGACCTTGAAATATTTGGAGAAATAATTAGGGATTTGCAGCACCCCAGAAAAACAACTATTGCCATAGATCTAAAATAAGCATCAATCAAAAAGGAAAATTACAGAAGATGAAGTACAACAAGATTAATCAATTTTAACCTTTTTTGAGGAAACTCTTAATTCATATTCTTATGCAATCCCCAGTAGAAGAGAATCAACTTAGATAGGCATAGTTAGAGATAGAATGTATGTCTATGGAGGAATGAGTGGAGCAGGAATTACTAATGAGATCTGGTGGTTTGATTTAAGTATAAATTTAATATTAATTTTTAGAAAGGTAAGAGTGGTTTAATTTTTGTTCCGATATCTAATTATTTATTACTAATCATTCGATGGTAGTCTGGAAAAATTTTTTAGTTTTGTTTGGAGGATCAGGATACTATGATCATAAAATGAAAATCAGAGAGGTCTTCTCAAAAATAGCATCCTTTAATACTTTGACTAATCAATGGACTATTTCATTAGAGTCTGTTGAACCAAGGAGAGAACACAAAGCATCCGTTCTATTTGGAAAATTGATGGTTGTAACAGGGGGAATTGATTCAGCAGAGAAGCTATTAAATGACACACTAGTGTATTCTTTGGAGTCAAAGAGATGGACAGGTTAAAAGATATTATTTGAAGAGGGAATTGCATAGCATGCCTAATGCACAGCTTATGATTATAAAAGAAATATTGAAACAGTATATATCTACGGAGGATAAACTGCTAAACTTGGTTCATTTCCTTTAATGAGAATGCTGTTTTTTGGGCCTCATCCAATTGGATGGGAGAAAGTATAAACAGTAGGATAGGCACCAGATAGTAGATATAATCATACTATGGAAAGTGTTGGAGAGTACTTAATTTTACTTGGAGGAAGATCGCAAGAAAAAAAAGAGTATTAAAATGATATATTTATCTTAAATCTACAAACAAGTGTTTGGAGCATAGCGTAGAGATAAGGTTTACAAACAAAAAGATGGAGCCATGCAAGCTGTGTGAATGGAACAAATATTTTATGTTTTGGTGGAATTGGAGAAACCACTTATTTGCCACCTCACATTTACTAAATTGAAACTGATACTTTAAAAATCAAAGGAAAGATAGTTGTAGTTAAACCTCTAAGTGTCATTAATGAAGAACACACTAACAATAATCATCATATGATAATTACTAGAGAACACGATTTCGATATGAAAAAGCCGTGCAAATTAGAAAAATTTAGAAAAGCACGCAAAATGTATGAAACAATTGTTACTTATTTACCTCTTCCATAACTTAAAACACCTAAGATGAGATATGATATTTTGATTCATTTTGTTAAGACGATATTGAGGCAAATCGGTTACATTTGACGAAATAAGAATAAATTAATTTATTTTATTCGTTTATTCTTTATTGATACCATTTTTCTTATAAATTATTTAAGTATTTATATAACGGCTTTAGTTTACTAAAGAGATTAATCACAACAATTCGAATACTAATAATCTAATTAAAAATAATACTCTTTATTTAGTTATAAGTCTTGCCAATAAAAGGAACTATTTAATGATATTCTATCCAATTAGATTCTATTTAATTGCCAGAATAGGTTATTCTTTCACCATGCATATCTTATATAAATCTTTAATAAATAGGTGTGATACTAATCATTGCGAATAATGACTTAATTTTAATGCAATATTTATTTATGACTGCCAATTTTGTACCATATTAAATGAAAGTTTTGAATTCACTTTTACCTAAATTTATAGAGATTATATAAAGATTGATTGATTTGAGAAATATAGTTCTACTCTTAATTGTGAATTTAAGAAGTAAATTTATTTAGAAAATTTAAATTTAACCATTTATTTAAATAGTTTGAAAATAAGAACTTAATTATTGAATATATGATAATATGATATTTCATCAGTGATTATCTATGCTTTATCTTTTTTTTCCTACTTCTTCGCTTAAACTTGTTTAAAATTCTTAGAAAGTAATTTCTCCATCGCCATTTTCATCAAAAAAGTCGAAACAAGCAATTATTTCTTCTTGAGTTATATTAGGCTCTATTCTTTTTAGCAATTATCCCATTTCATTTTTATCCAATCTCTGATCAGCAGATTTATCAAACTATATTAACTTAGAAATTGATACTTTTTTAAAGAGATCTAACAAGTTGATTTTATATTTTTAGATTGACAATTTTAATTTCTCAATAACATAATTAGCTCTTTCTTCAATAGAACCTTAGGATTTTAATTAATGTGGTAATATAGATAATTTTTTATGAGATCCTCCATTTCTTTATTATTGTTAAGCATTCCCATTAGTAATAATCTAAGATAAATCGATTAGAATACTTAGTTATCTTCAAGCCACTTTTTAAATTCTTCAAATTCGATTTGATTGTTGCCATCGTCATCAAATTTATTAAATATATATTCGATCTCCTCTCTGGTGATATCTTTATCTACTTTCATCAAGAACTTTCCCAACTCATTAACATCTAGAGCTTTATCTTTTGACATATCCAAATCTGCAAATAATTTGTGGATATCTATTTTCTCTTTGCATATCATCTGTCTGATATCATTAATTAAATATTGAGCTCTGTCCTCTAATTTACTATTTCCTTTAATAAAATCCTTTAGATATCATTTAAATATTAATACAGTAAAGTATTGGGATACAGCAGGGTGCTTGTAGATTTCTTCCCATGACAATCTCTTGTTCTCATCTGCTTATAAACACCCGATTATCAAATCTTGGGTTTCTTGGGAAACTTAATTTTTATCAGTAGGGAATTTTAAAGGCTAAGTTCTTATGTTTTTTAAGAGTTCAGCAGGCGATCTGGCTGTCCAAGGTGCTTTTAGATATTGAGAAGATTCTTACTCTTTCCAAATAAGGCTTCATAAAAGATGAATCCTATACTCCAGACATCAGTTTTAGAGTTATACCTTTTGTGATCTAAAATTTGAGGACTCATATAAAGTGGAGTTCCAACCATGGAAGCCATCATAGTTTTCTTGAAATTGTCCACACACTTAGCGAAACCAAAGTCAGCCAATTTATAGGACTTTTTAATGTTGATACAAATACTTGTTTGTCGATTAAAATGTTTGCAGGTTTAAGATCTCTATGAATAATACCATTTTTTATAAGTTGTGTGAAACCATTAAGTACATCAACCAAGAATTTGATTGCATCTTTTTCAGAAAGTAATTTTCGTTTCTTCAGAAGTCTGAAATGTATTAAATATATTTACTCATCGAAATCGCCTCCATCACAGTATTCTTATACAATGTAATAATTATTGTTTGTTTCCATGACATCCAACAAAGTCACAATATTTGGACTCTTTAATTTTTGCATAATCTTAATTTCTTGAATAAGTCCTTCCCTTAAATAATCATCTCTATTTTGATGAAAGAAATTATTACGAATTTATTACTGATTTACTCAACATCTTGATAGCTACCTTCTCCCCAGTTTTTTCATTGGTTCCTCTATAGACTTCAGCATAAGATCCTTGTCCAATTCTATCTTTTACATTAAAAATATATTTGTCAATTCTTTTATCTGTCATCAAAATTAATTTATTTTTGATTTAATATAATAAAATAATATGTGTATTTTTAATGTCCTAATGTACTAAAAAAATCATCTTGCACCTTTGCCTCTTCTTGCAGTGTGGCTGACATATGGCTTGGCATGAGATCCTGGTAAACCAGCGGCTCTGCCAAAATGTTTTAAGGCTTCTCTCACCTTTGGACCTCTCAATAGAATAGTGCCAGTTCCTATAAATTTTAGGGACACTTGCATACCTGTTGGGTTTTGTTATGCCAATTAATCGAAAGTCAAAGTCTTTCCTCCTGCTGCAAGAATTCTCTTTCTTGCTGTTTCAGTGAATCTGAGAGCACAGACATTTAATTTTGGGACAGTAAGAAGACGAGCACTAGAATGCATAAATTCAATTATTACTCATCAGTTACTGTGCCTACAACTACTAAAGTTCTGGTTTTATCTTTGGCTGTATTTATTTATTTTACAAGTCTGCTGACACTAATTGGGTACCTTGCAGTTCTTGTTGATTAGAGTCTTCTCAAAACAGTAGCATTGAATTGAGAGTCTGTTCTTCTTGCCAAGAATTTGTATAACTAGACAATCAATCGAAATGCTGTACCTTTATTAATAATTTCAAATAAAGGTTAGTAGAAGTCACTTTTCTTCCTACATTCCTTTAAACTCTAGTCTTTTTGTAAGCATCTACTCCCTATTATATACTTAGACTTGTTTAGTTACCATTTTTCAAATTTTTATATCTTTATTTAATTTATGGTATATGAATTCAATACATACTTTTTCATTAACCCATATATAATATTAATTGATATATTTAAAATACTCACTTTTTTCCTTTTTTACTATTTTATTGTGAATTTATCTACTTGTTCTCCTCCTTCTTTACTTCCTTTTTAACTTCTTCCTTTTTAACCTCAGCCTAAGCAACCTTTGGCTTAGCTACACAAGATCCAACTCCACAACTTCCTTTATTCTTTCTACTTTTTCCAACCAAAAATAATGCACCAATTATTCCGACATTAAAAATTATGTTCAGATATTCAGCCTAAGCATTTCTACAATTAATATTAAGACTTACACAAAGTTTGAATAAATTATGGGGTTGTGTACAAATGCTGTTATGATGATACTTAACAAAGCCAATAAGCATCCTGCTCCTTGAATACCTATTCCTACTCCAACTCCTAACAGAATTTAAGCAACTCCTATTGTTTGAATTAAGCATGGAGTATGTTTAATAAAGTTTGTGGGTTTCTAAAATCAAATATATAGTACTAAAAATTCTGCGCAATCCAATGAATGACCTGTCAATTTTTGGACATAATCAAAGAAGAGTGGATATCTGACGTTTACAAATTAAACAAATGGATCGGTATTATTTAATTGAGACAACCCAGCATTCACGAATATAAATGCTACTAAGATTCTGCCAATCAATCTTGAAAACTTCATGAATTAAAAATAATATATTAATTCAAATTAATTCGTTTTATTAATCATTCTACTCTGGTTTTAATTAATGAAATGAACACTTACTTTATAGTTCCAGTTGATCGTCTAAATTATAATCGTCTTATTGTAATCAGATAAAAAATCTTCTTGTCCTTAGCTTAAGAACTGCTTAAATAATAATAACTCAATTTATCAAATACATAACAACTTAATATATCATAATTATTGTCCATTAAGGATAACTGTATCATTTAAGCTTAAGCATAAGTCTTAGATGCAAGTAAAAGGCACTTATATCTATAAATGACATGAATATTAGTATTCTTAATTTAATGCTTATTTCTTTTGATTCCATAGGAACACACCGCATCCTCCATTGCTAAATAATATAAATCTATTTACTCATTCATTGTTGTAGTTTCCAGACTTTCCACAAAGACTTCATTCATCTCATATAGTTTTGAGAGCAAAATAGTTTCGCTTATTGATTGTGGGTATTAAGCTAATTTTAATTAAAATTGCTTGTTAATAGAAGAGTAATTTATAAAATTATGTTTAGTTGTACAGCTTAAAAGATTGTTAATCCCCAAATTAATTATTAACTTGTTTTCTAATTAAAAAGGATCAAAATCTCCATCATCTTTCAATGTTAGTTTGACTTAGATTTCAGCATAATTATCAATCTAATATAAATCCATTAGTTGAGTGTGATTCTCATCAACATAATAATTGTATTTACTAAATTATTGATAAAAATCATTTTTCTTTTCTATTTAATTTTCTTTTAATTTTTTAAAGAAATTTGTAAGTGAGTTTTTATTTTATCTAAAATAGGTTGATTATTGATTTAATAGAAAGAAGAACATCTTCTCTACAACAATTGTAGGATACAAACCAACTCCATTTTTTTCACCCAAATTAAGAGTATAATTTACTCTGACTTAATCTAATGTTCTGATGAAGAATGCTTCTTCCTGTTCTTAATCTTCCTTTTCTTTTTTTTCTTCTTCTATTGCTTTACATTCATTCTATTTCTATTCTAAAATTTTCCACCAATCCTAACCTTGAGTCTATTCTTCAAAATAATCATCAATATCTTCGATATATGGTTATTTTTAATCTAATTTCATCTTCTTTGGATTTTCTAAAGCAAAACTTGAAATCTCCTGTTATTAATGTAGGACAGGCCTTTACTGTTACTTGTCGCCATCTTTTTATTTGTCATTATCTTTTTCTTTCTTCTCCTTATCGTTGACCTTTTTTTCTATTTTAAATTATAAAAACCAAATTTACTTTTTGATCTAATTCTTAATGATTTAGATAGCAATTCTATATCAATTTTTTCTAGGATTATTGGTTCTTGCTATACTTTAATTTCCTATTCTATTTTTTTTTGGCGATTTTGCTCTTATTCTTTTTCTCTATTAAAATACTGCTAAAGTAACTATTCATTTTGTGGTTCCTCTTCGCATTTGAATTTTTGAATGCTTTGATAAGCCAATTCAACAAATTTTGCAATTGTTATATATTCTTAAAAAGGAATCTTGTCAAACTCTTGTTTTAACCACATGAGAATCATATTTAGAGTAGTTTTTGAAGGGACATCCAAACATCTATTCAGTATTTCAATGTTTGGTTGTCTCGCCATTATATGCTTTTTAAGAACAGACATTATTTTTTAAGCATATTTTTTGTTTCTAAACAGATATTATATAATGTAATTACTTTTCTATTTTTTTCTAATTATGATCACTTTCTGATTTTTGAATAGCATTGACATCTATTTTAAATACATATTTGGATGGAGGAGCCTCAACTTTTTAAGGAGGTTATATGGCTATAGCTGGTGGAGTTGTGGGAGCAAGTTTAATAGGTTAATTCTCCTTTGGTTGTACTTTGTTGTCTTAATCATTTAAAGAAAAGGGATGGGAACCTAAATTCTACATTTTTTTTTCTGATGAAGGCCCTGATATGCTATGCTAAAGAGGGGTTTCATTAAACTCAACTTTTTTCTCGCTAGGCTTTTTAATGATAGGGATTTATTCTATTTTGCTTGAATCTTATGAATCATCAGAATCAATAATTTTTCTCTTTCCTTTAGGAGTGTTTGGAGTCTCTATTTTTTGTGTCATTCCTTTTATAATAGGAATTGATTTTTCAATTTTTTATTAAGAAGCTTATGAACTTGAAATATTAATTAACTATTAAGGTTGTTATTTAGGTATAGTAATCTTTGTTTCATATGGCTGAGGTTTAGATTCTGGTTATGTAATTTTATTTGAATTGTTAAAATTAATGCTGATCTTAGGTAATACTTCCTATTGCTGAGGCTCCAATTATGCATAAGAATTTTACTATCCAATTTCACTCTATTCTTTTTTTATTTCAGGTTTTTTAGGTATTGTTTTGTAATCATCATTGATTTATGGTTAAATTGATGATTATTATTATTTTTATATTTAAACCTAATTTTATTATTATTACTATTATGGCTATTATAATTATGAAGATTATTGTTATGTATATTATTATTGTTATGTTTATTATTGTTATTATAATTATGGTTGTTCTAATTATTTTTATATTGATCCTAATTATGGCTATTATTGAACTTATGGCTACGATTGCAAATAAGAATTAGACTATTAATTTATAGATTATTAAGGTAATTATGGTGGTAATTATTGAGTAGAGATTTGCGGTTTTGGTTATTATTATTCATTCTAAGTATCTGTTATAATAGATTGATTAATCTATGGCATTGGAACTTATTTAGGAATTTATTGCTATTGTGTTGAAATAGGTTTAGCAGTAATTGGCGTTTAGAAATCAGGTGTTTCTTTTATTGTATCTTATTGAGGTGGGTTCAATTTAGGGATTGGAATTTTGAATGAGAGTGTCGATTTAGTCGAATCCTGTCTTTAGAGAGTATCAAAAGTGTTGAATTAGGCTGGAGGTGTCTCTTTTATTTTCTCTTGGCTTTAGCTTATATCATTTGATGTCATTCTAGATATAGAAACTTTAAATGATGTAGGTGGAGGTGGTTCAATGAGTTCCTTTTTCTAAATTTTGCTTTCAAACTGATTTTCTTGGAAGTTTTACGATTCATTTTTTAAACTTGTGTTTGAATCAATGTAGGGTTGATCATCATCTTGGATTGATGAAGATTTTATTTTAAATTTATTGACTACGAAATCATTCTATGGTTTAAGGAATGTAAATTGGTTATTATTATTGTAAGTTTTAATCTCATTTTTGGGTAAACGGGGTTTTCTACCAACCTAATCTTCTTTTAATGAAGCAGGTTCTTTTTTTTTATTTTTTCTTTATTCAATTGAATCTAATTTATTCATTTCTACTTTTAATTAATAATCATCTGGTATTCCTAATTGAATCCTTATTTCATTCAATTTATTCCACCTTGTATTAAAGCATTGCTCAAATTTAGAGCAAGTTTTTAATATTGTGTGATTAGGATCGGTATTGAATTTCCTACAGTTTTTAATAATTTTATCAATCTATTCTTTGATTTCATTGAATGTCCTATACGCACCATCCTTATATTTAGTAGTCAATGTACTAAGATCCATTGGATCTGTTATAATTTAATAATAATCAGGGCATTTAAATAGATGAATATCAACTGGAAATCTGAAGGCTTCACTGCACTCTAACTTATATAAATCAAGCAGAGTTTCATATATGTGCTCCTCTATTCCGTATTCTTTTTTCGATGACATATAATTCTTTTGTAAAAAAAAATTTATATATTTGATTAATTTTACATAAGTAATCATTTAAACAAATTTTCGGAATTAGCTTTATTAAACAAATTTGCAAAACAAACAGCTCAAATAATTAATTCAGATGATTAGAATTTAGAAGATATCTAACTGAAGTAATTCATATTGTTAAAAGAATGAATCAATTAGTATTAAGTTATTCTTATTTATCAATATATTAATACTAAGTTAAATTAAAATTTATAAATATAATTCTACATTAAGATAAAAAATTATCTATTGTATTACAATATCTAATAGATTATTAAATTATTCTATGATTTCATACATGCTTATATAGCTCTTCCAACTAAGAAACTTCACTCTATATTAAGGCTTTATGAGTCACAAAAACAAATATATTGGATTAAGTTAATCCGCAAAAATAAAAATGGGTAATTCCGTTAAAATATTTTTAACTGTTTATAACATAATAATAGTATATATAATGGAATCTCAATTTCATTTCCTTGAAATTTGGTTCTGAATTAGAACATTTTCCTTGTCATTTTCTTTAAAACTATTTTGGTTTGTTAATTCTTAGATGTGATTCTTATTTTGTTTAGCACCTTTAGAGTTCTCTTTCTCAGATTTAGAGACATCTGAATACTGTTGTGTAATATTAGCAGAATTAAAGACTTTAGTCATTCCAGCAATAAGTGAGACAGTTTATTACATTAAAATAAATATAATAAAATGTGCTCGTTAAATTTATTTAATAATTATAACCAATTCTATTAAAACCTCAGAATTAACGCTACAATTCTGAAATGGAACAATTATCAACTTCGGATGACTACAACAACAATAGAAAATTAAATTTATTTATATTGTTAATGAACATTCAAAACATCATATAAAAAGGTGGATGATGAAGGCAACACCTAGGAGGACTCCTGATGAGGCTGCATCGCATTTTCCTTTACTATAAGATGTTGTGTCAGAATCTAAGCAAGCTTAGCATTCATTTGAATATTCCTTTTTGCAAATGGTGTCATTGCATTTCTAGGATGCACAAACTTCGTTGACATTGTCATCACAACTGGTAGGTCTGTTCAAACTGCATTAGTATTAAACTTCTTGATCGGCTAAATCATCAGTTCCGTCTTTTTGACCATCCACAGCGGTGGATTCAAATATTTATCTAGAGCTTAAATATAATAAATACGAATATTTTGAACATGCCTATTTCATAAAACCAACAACAGTCTTATCTGAGCAGGCCTAGCAACCACTTCCAGTGAGTTTCATGCAAGAGTCGGAATAACATGGGAATTCAGTGAATGCACAAGTGTCTGTATAGAGCATGTCACACATTTCTGGTCTAGGATCTGAACACTTGATGTAATCAGTTTCGGGAGTTTGGTTGGTGTCTCTAAAATTTAGATATAATTTATAGATACTCTTTTGGTAATTCATCACAATTTCCGAAAAAATATGTATCAACATTTTCATTGGCACAAGCAAAACACTCGTTAGTAAATACTTGTCCACAAGGAGCCTTGATACATTAGATTTTGCTGTTGAACAACCCACAGGTCTGTTTGAACCTAATTATATTTCATAAGATATACTGTTCTGGACAAATTGCATTCTCAATTTTGGGTGTATCACATTTGTGAATTGAACTTGTTGAACTTGAAGTTGAAGAATTACTGTTAGTATTTGTGGAAGTGGATGTTCCAGGAGGAGGGGCACTGTAAACTAAACAAGGTTCTGGTTTGTAGTAGACGACATTCTTGGCCCTACAGCCGAAACAAGAATTCTCGAAGGTTCCTTGTTGCTTAAAGTTTATAGAAATATTTACATAATCTTCAGAAGAATAACCACAAACTGGTGAGTATTCTTTTGTGCATGAAACAGTCGTATCCATATCAGCTGGGCATTTAATATCTTCTGATACAACCAGCATTATTAGAGCAAATAAAATCATATATCTCATTGTTTTTAAAGTAAATTATTAAATAATATGAACAAACTTTATAAAATTAAATACCAAAACATTCACTAATTTTAGGGATTCATTATGAAATGAAAATTTACATTAATTCCTAATATTAATAAACTGAATTCTAATTTCCTAAAATTGCACTGATTTCAAAGCAATTTGTTCACTTGTAGATTCCAAGTTGGAATCCTCATTAAGGAATAGAATTTTCAACTCTTCAAAGGGGATATCAATAGAAATTATATTTATCTATTATTAATCATTAGATTTTTCAGTTTCAACATACAACAAAAAGGGAATTATGAGAATTCTTTTAATTAAAGCTTGAACAACAAAATCCACTAGTTCCATCTTTAAAAATAAAAATATTTAAATCATGAAAATTATCCATCAATTCTTACTATGTATATAGTTCCTTAACTTTTAAGTGAGAATTAAGGTTATTTCAAATATTTTATTGAATATGGAATTCAGATTTTTAATTTTCTTTTAAGTATTAAATTAAATCTATTTAACTCAAGAGTGCGATATATAGAGAAGGTAATTTATGATGCTAGAGGGTAGACGTATAGTAGTTTCTGATTGAAATAGATAAATAGATAGATAGAATAGTATTCTGATATTTATACATAATTTGAAAGAGAACTGATTGCTAAAATATGTTTTTCTTATCTAGTAAGCTTGGTATTTGTGAGGATGGGAAGTGGTTTCATTAAAATTGAAGTGAGTTGATGGGGAGATACAAAATAAATTAAAAATTATTTAAAATGAAAAGATGAAAATTAAGAAATGTTATATAATAATTAGTTAATTGATAGTATATGAGTGATATTTTGGTTTATGAATAAAAAATATATATTAAATTTAAAATAAATGGATGTATATTCAATTCTGAATGATGTTGCTGACTGTGGCAATGTTACGTAGCAACACATCCACAATTTGCATGTGAGTTTTTTGGGAGACACATAGTAATTAGAATTAATAAAATTTTAGATAGTTCACAAAATAACTAGAATGTAGTTATTTAAAAATAATCAAGAACTTTAATGGGACATCGAAGCAGCATAGAAAGTTATTTGAAAATGTTACTGAAAAATTTGTAACATTTATGATAAAAAAATGGAATGAATCCACACTTCCCGCCCAAAAGACTCGAAAATAAATTAGCACAGATAACACAAGAAGGTTTATTCAATTAAATGTATAATAGCTTCCTTCTCTATTTAATGCAATTGTTCGCAGAGGGTTTGGACTCATAAAATTTTGCTACAAGAATATGTTGTGGGAGACATCTGTTTATGATCTTAAGATGTATTCCCCCTTAGTTATTGAATTAGTTGGTGGATGAGAAAACTGCATATGACATGCTCAATCACACAGTAGGTTTATTCAAAAATACAAAATTATAAAAGACAGGGAAAACTTAGAAGGGTTTGGCTGTGAAATTGGGTTCCTATTTATAACACATCGCATTTGAGGAGAGAAAATAAAATAAATTAAAATAAGCAATAGTGGCATTGAAATATGAAATGGTTCGAACTATTTGCGAGGACGACAAAAAGGAGTTGAGACTGGATGCATTAACCAACACAGAATTAAATGATTCAACTCTTCCATTTATAATAATTAGAATCAGAGATACTGACGTGGATGTGAGACTTTAGGTTTTCAAAAAGCTTATGAAAAATCATTTCTCCATATCTCAATTAACAACATTAGATTTATATTAAGTGATCTATGATGGTTTAAAAAACAGTAGTTAGAAGGTGGTGGAGTAATGCGAATTATTTTTACAGTAATCTTTTGGTAAAATAATCTAAGATGATTAAATAATGTAGGAGGATTCAAGATAGAAATCAGCTAGAAAATCAATGAATGTTGAGTAAGTGAATCACATTCATGAAGCAGTGAAGAGATTTTTAAATTTATTTTAAATTGATAAAACTTTAATATTCCCTTAATTATATTCCACAATATTGGATGGATTGAAAGCAATATTGAAATCTGTTCATTAGGATGAATTATCAACTTATTTCAGAGATGCATTAAGGAATTTAAGCAATTAAACAAGTGGACCAGAAATGTCATTTATTAAAGTGTTGTGTCAGATGTCTCAAAACTAAGAGTAAAAAGCCTAATTACAATAATAAATGAATTTGATAGTCGATCACAATTTCCCAGAAGGCACATAATTTGCTGAAATTTTTAATTAAGATTTGGATTTATTGCAATATTATGAATTATTGTAACTAGCATAATTGCTTATCAATTAAGAAGAGATAGGAAGAACAAGACTATTAGATCGAATGGTTGAGTTCATCAGCAAATACAAAAAACTAGACTGTCAAAGATTGCATAACCAAAAGTTTAATGAGATCTATGAAGATAGAAGTGATTAAGAACTAGAGAGTAGATGGTTTGCATAACATCATTTTGAAATGCCTATTATAAAAAGTTATTACGAATTAATGATTCCATCAATCAAAGTAATTAAACTCCTAGTATCATCGTAAGATTAAATGGCAGAGTAGGTATTTAAAGTTATCCAAGATCTATAGAAATAGATTATAGTTGAAAATATCTAATAATTAGAATAATCATTGTAGGTCAGAAAAGAAGAAAGAGAAAATTTAGAATAAGAAAAGGAAGCTTTAGTTAAAAAGAAGAAACAAAATGTGCAATCATTATAATTAAATGAGCAATTGCTAGAATAAAATTAAAAGGCCATATAGCAAACACTCAATGAATTGGATAAGATGAAATAACACAACAAAAATATTGATATTCATTGTCTATATTTATTGGATGCCTTGTTTAACTAATTTGATATAGCCAAAATAGAAGATAGGATTTTTATCAGATTAAAGACAATCATCACTACAATTAGCGAGAAATATAAGAGTGGAGATGATTGTTTGGCTAAGAAATTGAGTTTCAGATGTTTGGGATATATCCCATTATTTGGAATTGATGTTGGAGGATCTACCATTGCCACTTTGGCCAGAATTTTGGATTAATCCATCCCAACCTAGAAAAATAATGACAATCCTATGACCATTACAGCTCTAAGAAGCATTTTGGATGCATTATTGATGTATGATGACGATTAGGCATGGGTTATTGATTCAGAAACATATGGAAAATAGAAGATTCTATAGATTATAATGAAATTTGCATTCAAATCTGAAGGAGTGATCTAGGCTATTGCATTGGAAGGACTATGCAAATTATTAATTCATGATAAAATTTTGAAGCCCTAAGTTTGGATAGCTTAATTTTTGTTTTTGTGGTTCGATGTTAGATTGCGTTCTCAATAGTTGCCTTTGTAAATTGTGACCAGTTTTCTTAAGCTTTACATAACATCATCCTTACAATTCTTAAGGATTTTTGAAAAGGGATTGGAATTATACTTTAGCATTTGTTGTTATTTGCATTATGTAAAGGATTAAATTCTTAATCCTGATCTATTTGATACACAACAATGGCAAGAAAACTCATTAATATAAGCAGCAAGTGCGGGAATTAAAATGATGAGCTATAAAATAACTGGGTAGAAATCCAATCCATCTTTGTCTGAATTCAAAGATATTTTAGAATCCAGATCCTTAGAATCTGATTTCATAGGACCATAGGAAAGATTTATAATGTACCTTTGTAAATTAGTCAGTGATCACAACAATATTATTCTGTAAAAGGTCATCACTTAAGTCACAAAACAAGCAGACTTTTTGGAGATGTATGACATCAAGGATGACGACAATAATAAATTGAAACCAAAACTATCATTTTATCAAAGTCTAATCATTAGTTTAGAATAATGCATAGAAAGATTAGAAAAGGCTAATGCCGATGTTAAAAATGAGAACAACTTCTTGAAGGTGTTACAAGAAGAGGTAGGATTACAAGCCTAAGATGAAGGATAAGTTCTTAGAGATGCCATCATGAAGGACTTTGAATTACAAAGAGAAGATGCCAATAATTTAGTTAAAGAACTAAAGAAACAAGGAATTATTATTTAGGGATAAAAATAAAAAGAACAAGTTCAAGCGGAAGAAAATTATCAAGGTAACATATTATATCTATTATATTATAGGTGAATCAGACTCAGATGAGGGAGTCAAAAAAAAGAGAAAATAATCGAGTGACTCAGAAATTCCAACCAGAAAGGGAGGAAATAAGAAGAGAAGATGAATAATAATTATAATTAATTATGCATAAATATAATTTAAATTCGATATGTTATAAAAAAACTTCATAAGTTATATAATATCATATCATAGATATTTAACTATATAAATTATCTAAATATACAAAAATCAGGTTTTATTGGTTTATATATTTTATTTATATAGTCGTATAAGAAACCATTTAAATAATAATTATTTAATAAATATTAATTGAAACTTAATAATAATAATTATTTTATTTAAAATATTTAGATATAAAATTGGTTATTATTCATATACTAGTTGTGGTTGATTCATTCTAATTCACTCATTGGCATCTAGATTGAAGTTTAGATTAGTTATTTTGATTCTCTATACAAGATGATTTTAATCGTATCACTGATACCATTCTAATGAATGTTAGTAAAATAACACTCAAAGTTTTTTTAATATTTTGGTATTAAAAATGGCAATTGATTTATTAATTAAAATGGTTAGTAAATATCCGAATTGTATACATAATTAATATAGATATCCTTAATTGGTTGATTGCTTATATTTTCTACAACACAACATAATTTAAATTTAGGTCCTAATCCTTCTGCAATAGCTGAAAGTCTCAAAGGATTGTTCTAATTTAATTGAGGAGCCTATTCCTTATTAGACAATATGTTCAAGTATGTTTAGGCAGTCTTAAATCTCATTCTCAATAAATCATATTAATATGTCCTTAACATTTCTGAGCCCTATTCTCTCTCTCTTTGAAACTGTTCAATGAATAAATTGGTGATAGGTGGAAATTCGATGGGTTTAATAATTTCCTTTTCTAGTATGGCTTGTTTCTTCCTTTCGAATTCTCTGGATAGAGTTCTAGTTTCTAATGCTCCTTTGATATTAATGGTAATTAGAAAACCATCTTGGCTGACTCCGAAGAATCCAAATCTCATGACTGAAACATTGCTCTAAACTATTACATCAATTTTATACTTCCAGATTAATAATAGACATCAATAGAGTATCCTTATAGAATTGAATAGTCTTATTTTCTAATGCAATAAGCAACCCTTTGGTTTCTTATCCTTTGCCTGTGGTCACAGTTTCAATGCCCAAGATATTATGTTACATCTATAACTAATATTATTTTTATTTGTGTTAATAGTTTTGGACAACCCTATCCATGGTTGCTATGTACAGACATCGTTGTTATCTTATCATGGTTATTGGTTTGGATTGCAAATCGATGGTGTAGGGTTCAATGTCATTGCCAATGAAATACACACAATTCTCTCTGACTAATACTGCAATTCGGCCGTCTTTTTGTTCTTCTGAAAATATGCAAATTGAAATCGGAACTCCAGGTATTTCATACTAAATAATTGCAGTATTTATTTACTTTTTTATAAATTTAAGTGATTTCTTAATTATATATGTATATGAATTTCAATTCTGTTCCTACAATTAATTACCCTTGGGATTTATCTTCATCTACATTTTTTTTAAGTACACTCACACAAGTGACTGAATCTTCGATGTAAGGACTATCCTAATATTTTTCTGCTAATTCCTATTGTTTTTGCAAATCCTAAAAGCACAACAATTCCAAAGACTTATACGATAAATTGGAATGTTATTATTGCAAATTCTTCAAATCCCTTATGAGGTTTTGGAGATTCTTATCGGTCGAATACTATTTCCAGATGTCTGCTTCCTCTTGTTTCAATTGAATATTTGGAATTTGACATTTATAAAAGGCTTTGAAAATCTTATAGTTGTATATGGTGTTTCCGTGGCATATGCTGATGCAAGGTTGGCCCGATGTATCGCCGTAGAAATACGTCATGCAGACTGGTTTGTCTGTCAGTCTGGTTTCCCAAGCGATGTTGGTATTCCTGTAGGACACAAGTCTTTAATTTTAATCTGCAACCACCAAATTATATTGGCCATTTCCCTGGACGTCAATCAAGTCCATGCAATTTTAGGTGACTTTCAAATTTGCAACCAAATCACTCCAGCCTTAAATCCAATAACCTTATTTCATACAAAAATAAACAATTATTAATAATATACTCAGACAATATAATATAATGGGGTAGTTTTTAATTGGATTATTTTATAATTTCTGAGAATTGAATGATGGATGATTTCTTCACTAAATTTAAAGATTTTTTCGATAAAGTTAAAGACATTACCAATGTGAGATTCACGTATATGAAAGAGCTGTATAATCTTGGCTTAGAATAATTTCCGAATAACTATGAAATTCTGAACATCCAAAAGAACAACCAAGCAAGTATCCAGTAAGGTGCTAGCAAATTCAAGAAGAACTGGACTGACGACGACAAAAAAGTGTTAATTTGGTTGGTTGGAAAGTACTTGGCCCTTCACAAACGAGATTTTAAACAGATTGTATTGAAATGATCATATGAAATTAATAGAGTGAATCTGATTGGATCAACATATCTTCCATGATGCAGCGGAGAGAGCCCTTTCACTGCAAATAGAAGTGGCTGCAAATGTTGAGACTACCTTTATAGTAGGCTCCATGGACCAGACAAGAAGATGATGCACTTCTATTAATTATTCAAGAATATTAGAAATTAAATAAAGGCAACAAATGGAGTCAGATAGCCATGGCTCTCAACAAACGAACGGATTCAAGTGTCCATCGAAATGGGAAACAGTGCAGGGAAAGATGGAACAATCATTTAAATCCAACTATTAATAGGTAATTCTATAATTAATATTAAGAAAACCATGGTAATTATCTGAAGATTTGGAGCTTATGAAATTGGCCATTTAAAATGGAAAAAAATGGGCATAAATTTCAAAATAGCTAAAACTGTAAAGAAGCGAAAATAATGTAAAAAATCGCTTTAATTGTCTCATGAGAAAAGAAAAAAACAATAAAGTTTAAACGCAATCCAATTAAGAGAGCAATAATGAAGCATAAGATTCTTTTTTATCTGAGCCTTCCGTTGAAGAATTGAGTTTAGAAGAACAAAGATGCATTAATGCAATAATCAAAAAAATAGAATGGAGAATGAAACAAGACGGCGACGATCCTTATGATGTCAAATAAGAGGATTTCGACTAACAGTCAAAGAAGATTACTTCAACTCGTTAACCGAAACATATAAAGCAGTCACAACAATTAGAAGAACCATTAAAAAATAATGATGAAATCCTTATTCAAAATAAGGACAATCACAGCTAAAGTGATGAGAATGTCGACAATAACAAACCATAAGATAATGCAAATAATAAATAATAGTAAAATACCTTGCCACTATAAATTATGGATTTCACTTAAATCTCATCAGAAGAGTCTCTCTAACTTTAAACTTGCTTGGTTAATAAGGAGAAAAATAAAATCTATTTTGTCAACTCAGAACAAGTTAATTAATTCTTCAAAAAAATGCAATTAGCTAATTTGAATAAAGATGCTGCAGTGAACTAAGGGTTGTATGGACTATTAAGCAATACTAGTCTACCTAGTTACAATAATCTACTAAGCAACATGCTGTTAAATTAAAATCTTGAAGATCCCTTATAATAATAAAATTAAATATCCTTACCAGAGAATCAACCTAGTATAGGTTCTTACTTCCCATTTTTCCCATTCAATAATTATTAATCATAGTATTAAGGAGCCTCTTAAAGTGTCAATCCAAGGTCAGTCTTGAATTTTCCACCAAATTTGAATACTCATAATTATTAGTAAGTTCCTAATTATCTTCCAGGATACAATTATCACCTTGCTTGCTATCCTTAATAATCATTTAATCAACACTTGTAAAATAGTGATAAAACATAAGGATGATGTTAATGTTTCAATTTATAAATTAATTCACTATTTTTGATATTCTCATAGACACACCCTCTCTCTAGAAACAAACTCACTAAAATTAATAATTATAAATATTAATCACTATTAACATTAAAAGTTATGTTAATATTCAACTTTAAAAAATTGGTCGAATACTTTATGACTTCGATTACAACGCAACGTCTGTATTAAATTTACATTATTGTTGCTAAATATATTTTATATTGAGTACCGATTGATTAGTACTGATTGTATCACTTTTGAATTCATTTTTTTTAACCCCATCTTCGTCTTAACTAAGCGTATCTGCTCTCTAGAAAACTTTAAGGGGACACACCACTGATTATTATGATATTTGTTGATGTTGGAAATCGTTGCTGTTATACTCAAATAGTGTAAAAAACGATTTTGGAGATAAAAACCCTGATCCCTGAGGAATGACAGGAACTCTATTGGTTAACGATAATTTATTCGAGAGTTCTGTCTTCTATTATTTATGAATATTTTTAAGTAACTAAAGTTCCTTCTCTTGTCTCTATTCAAGATCCTACAAGGTTTCATCATTTTAAGTTAGCTTCATAACGTGAATTCTTACATAATATTCCCTATACTGTTTAGTAAATTGCTGTTCCACAGAATAATCATCAATAGTATCAATGCTTAGTTTGTTGAACTTAACTCCGCTTTATTTCATTGAATTAGGATTGATTTCTTAGAGGATATTGTTAGAATTGACTTTATAGGATTGATTATTAGCCAGAACCTAATTGTTAGTTCCTTTCTATTCACTCACATTTTTCGAAGGAATATATTTTAAGACAGAGGAATCTAAGCATTAGACAATGTGTACTTTTGCTATCGTTTGTAATTTGAACAAGGAGGGATTCATTGATGGAGACAGGTAAATTATCGTCATCTTAAAAGGTAGATTGAAAGTATTGGTTCAATAATTGAGTAGCTGTAGGTCTCTGATCTGGAGGGTTGAGACATCTTCAAATAATTTAAATTTATACTCTAAAATTATTGTTTTGATTTTTTCGTTTAGAATTGCTTCTATGCTTTGTGGTTTTTAGGATTCCATCACTTTTTTGATAATCTAACCTGTGCCTCCTTTGCATTCACTGAAGGGCTTCAAGCCAGTTACCATTTCTAGAACGCACAATCCAAATGCATAGATATCCACCTTGGTATTATAATTACCTTGGTATATTTCAGGGGCCATGAATTCTGGGGTGCCTAAGACGGAACTTGTATTCTGAGATTACATTCTCTTATTTAATAAAATGTATTTACTAAATGGACAATCCCAGATCCCCAATTTTTAATTCATTGTTGTTGGTGTCAATGAAAATGTTTTCGCATTTCAAATCCCTATGGATGACATTTTGGGAGTGCATGAATTCAATTCCTTCCAAAATCTGCTTGCACCAATAGCGTATTACCTTCAATTTGGGTCTTTTTATTCTTCTTATATAACTATATAATTTTATTATAAGATTACCTTTTCAAGGAACCTCCATTCACGATTTCAGTAATAAAAACAATTTCCTTCTTCGATTTGCTTTGCCAAGAATGTATGAAACGGATGATATTTTGGTGCTGCAGACTTTTCAAAATTGCAATCTCTTATTTGGCTCTTCTTCTCTCATCTTATTGTTTTCAATTCATACTTTCTGAGACATTCGTTAACTAAAAGACATTCCATGCAACCTCGCAGCCACTTTCATTATCATAACCTCTATATACATTTTTGTAAGCTCCCTTGCCTATTTCTTCGTTATACTAAACTATAAGGGGATTCATAAGTACTTTGCAGAATCGACCTGTGGGATCATGTTCAATAATCATTGAGAGCTGCTCCTCATCATCAGAAGATAAGACAACATCATCATTTATAAATTGTTATTCACGTGAGTTCATAACAAACAAAAATTAAATTGCCTTGATATTTCTAAAATAATCAGATCTTAGTATTGCGCAATTTAATTGGATAAAACTATTGAAAATTTGCTAATTTCCATATAATATCAAATTTTAATACTTTTACTTGACACTTTAATTTCATTAATCGATGGATTTGCTATATCAAAATGCATACCTACTTACTCAATAACGTTCGTTCATGATGGCATAATTAATAATATTATATTGTGATATATAGACAATAACATCAAATTTTAATTTCCTTTCTTCTCTCTGGCTCGCATTCTTCCTCCAATGCTTCCAGAGTTTATAGTAAGATAGACGCCAAGTATGAATTCTTGAATCCCTAACATAAATTGCACTACTTACTTCAAATGTCATATTGGGTTTAACAATCTTTGAAATGTTCACATACCCACTTTGCTCAAGAACACCTGGATAGATCCCCAATTACTTTCTATGCCTATTGATCAGTCTCCCTTAATAATAAAGAAGGACTCCAAAGTTATTTTAGGTCAGTCTACCTAATTGATAAGACTCCGCCCATTCATTTAATTTCGCTACTACTTTTTCGTTGGTCACAGTAACCTTGTGCTTATTCTCTATTCGACTTATCACATTAACATTCATATTGATCAATTGATTCTGCACAGTCACTCTAAATGGTAAGTGTTCCAATGAATAGTATTTGAGATACTCCTTCAAAGAGAAATCTGGAAATTTACTTGCATCGTCCTTCTTCAATTCAAATGCCAATGATTGATTCGAGATTATATCGTCATTAAATAGACTAAGTTCAAATATCTTTTATAAAGCATGTATCCTAGTCAAATCGAAGATGAAGATTTTGGTATAATTAAAATTGCAATTCAATATGAAGTCCTCCTCACTAATTAAATGAGTAATTGCATTTAATAACACATATTTGCTCTCAGTTGAGTCAATCTTCCTCTCAGTACCATTAGCAATAGTCATCGTGTAATTATAGAAGGTCAAGGTTTCATCATTAGGATTCAATTGATTATTCATCGATATCAACCCAACATAATAATTGTTCTAAGACTTATGACAGATGAGCACACTATCTCCTAGTCGCAATGATGCAATTTTAAAATTTAAGGCGTATTACTTCTTATTGAGTAGTTATTACTCTTCCAGAACTTAGTTTTGTTCACTTTCATTTTTCAAGTCCAAGTCCTAATTGATCACTTTATTCTTCCTTTTGGAAATGTCAAAATTAAATAGGAAATCGTTTAAATCATCCAATTCTTTAGGGTCTTTCTCAAATATTATCAACACTGGTATCTTATCCCTTATTTCATCAATAGTATTTGAATATTTCTTCCTTCTTTATAAGAACACATATTCAAAATTGACTTCAGCAGCTTCTGATAATTTTACGTTGTCCAAAAAGAGACCAAAACAAGACATAGGACACTGAATCAACTTAGAAACTCTAGTAAACTATTAAATATATTATTACTCATCTACGAATGTCAAAGATAACTTAGGTAGTTTTACTGCACTACTCTCTGTTGCTTTATGATATGATATTTCCTCTTCCTACTGAATACCATAGATCAATTGGCAATACTTACAAACGTTTTTCATCTCATCCCTTGAGTATTTCTGTACATTATTATCACTATCCTTTAAATGCAATACCATAATGTCTTCCAACACTTCTCCCATACTTCTCAACCCTCCAAATATTATAAACTAATCCTTATACACTATACAACTATGTGAAAATCTCGGTTGAAATACTGGAGTTTTAGATTTTGGCTATAATTTGCTCCACGTCTATAAATTTACTTAAATTGCATACTCTCATAAATGTTTCAAATATCCAAATATCATTTTTCGGAAATATAGGCTTCTCCTCCTCATCAATATTTTAATCATCATCTTAATCCTGTTCAATAGCCTCCTCTTCGTTGTCCTTCTATTAGTCGTATTAATATCTAAAATTGACTGTTATTCATTCATACCCTTCTCCTCCGATGATGAATAAGAATCTCTCTCCATAAGCAACTGCAGAATGAGAAGCTCTTGGAGTTGGCTATTGAGATCCATTTGCCTTGATTTTCTCAATCTTGATAACAGTATTATTATCTATATTCTAACCCTTATCATCTCCAGACTCCAATTAGTCAAATTTTGAATGCAAATCATTCATATTCTCAAAATCTAATTTATACAAATCTTTATGAAATACTAGTTGTTTATTCGACTACTGACCTTACCCTCCAAAGATATAAACACTATCCCCTATTTTATTAGCCGTGTGACTCTCTAATTTAATCATCTCGTCCCCTGTAAAATGTGTCACTTATTGAAACTTGTTTGTTTTTATATCATATAACCAATGAGATTCTGTCATTATATTTTACACTTGATCCCATCCGCCATAGATGTATATCAATCTAGATGATAAAGCCACCATCGAATGTCCCTCTCTACCCTCCATATCTTTTGGTACCTGAATTTCTGTCCATTCAGAAGTTTCAATATCAAAGCTCCAAAAATCCCCAAGAATTAATTCATTGCTGGATCCCCCAAAAAAATACAGCTTATTTTACAAACATACACAACAATGAGAATCTCTCCCTGGAGGATGCTTCAAAGATGGCGAATTCAATCTTTCCCATTAAAATGTAACGCAATCCATTCTATATATTTGTTCCCACTATCTGGGATTATCAGATTTCCCACAACCACTGAAAACATACATATATTTGTCGTGTAACACAGCCGTATGTCCCCATCTTTTACATGGATAATTGGGACTTTTTCGTTTGTTTACACTCAAAGATTTTGAAATCCATAGTGCATTCTTAAATGTTTTGGTAGGAATCATAGTGATCTCTTATTGAATTTAATTCATTTTAATATTTTATAATTAATATTATAATATTCATAATTATAATTATCCAAAAGAATAAAATATTAAATAACTTATTGAATGCCCAATTACCTTTTTCATAACATAAACTAAATATAATATAAATATAAATATATATAAATTAATTTATATTCTAATTTCTACCATAAAAAACCTGTGATTCTCTATGTTCCTCGCAACTACGCCATTTCATCTCATCCAAGTCTGCCAAACTCTTCCCTTTAACTTCATTAATCAACTTCTTTTTGATGGTTCCTGAGGGGTTACTAGTGGATATTCAATTTATTCCATTGAATTCATACAACTTATTCTGCTATCTACTTAGAATCATCTATTACATAGTAGTATCATAATTCATTTAAGTAACTTATGCTTACTATGTGAGGATAGTCTAGTAAATTAGGTAATCATGAGGTTTTATTCATTTTATACTGATTATTTATATTTTTGGATTGATATTTAATTGAATTACCCGTTTTTCTGCGTATATTAATAAAATAATGAAATTGGCAATCGCCCTTGTATTGTTGGTCACATTCGCATCAGCAACATCAACTAAGGATCAAATCCTTGCCCTCCTTTAGACTGGAACAAAGGCAAGTGATGCTATTGATACAGTGTTTGGATTACTCAATGATTTGATTTAATCAAACAAGGATGCCTAATTCGCAGCTGATTAAAAGAATGAAACAGACGAATGGGTTGGAGCATAGTAATTTTATTGATTAATTTTAGAACAATTGAACAATTCACAAAAATCAAGAATCTCAACCAAAAATTGTTTTAATAATCAATTGAGAACAGAGCACAATTTGAATAAGAACTCCACGACACCAAAAATTACCTCGCTTGGAATGAACAAAGATAAGATGAAATCGCTAGAGAGATTTAAGTCCTTCTTGATGAATAGTGTCTCAGCAATCAATTGTTTGTTAGATCAATCAAATAAAACAGAGAAGCACTCGAAGTAGTCAGAGTCCTCAAATAAGATGTCGCAGGATATATTATCAATGGAGACTCCTTTGAATTAGTCTAAGTTCACAGTGTTGCTGACAAGTTGAAGCAATACAGTAGCACATTCTAAGAATAAGAATTAAAGTCATTCCTCCAATTGGCCAACAAATAAGAAGACGGTTCTGTAAGCAGAGGAGCCACATTAGCAGAGAAAGTGTTGTCAGTATTGGAATCACTTGAAGCCAATCTTTAAGCCTCACTTGAAGCTCTTGAAGTCAATGAAATTAATGCCTCATGGGAATTAGCAGGATGGGTATCATTGAGCGAAGCTGAAGTTGCAAACCTCAAAGTTGAATACGAAAGAAAATAAGTTTATGCAGACAGATTGGCAACTGTAACTATTATCATCTCTATTTCCTTAGTAAATTCAAGCTGCCTTAGCCTAATAAGCCAAATCAAAGATTATTCTCTAAGAGTCATAAGACGCTTTAGATTAAGCTTAATCCGATTTAGAAAACAAGAGAGCAGACTATGCTGAAGCCAAGGCCAAGAGAGACGAAGAAAATGCTATCATTGAATAAGTCATCATCATATTCAAGAAATAAGTTGCATCATGGTCAGGAAGATGAGATTCATCTTTTTATTAAATATATTCAATATTATTTGTTTAATCACATAACCATATTTAGATTGCCACTGTTAATTAACTAAATAAATGTTGCTTTTTGTATAAATAACAATAATATGCCTTAAAATTGATTAATTTAATTAATAACTGAAGCATTTTCAAATAAAATCTATAGAAGATTCTTTATTAGATATATATAAAAGAGAGTGTAATTTTGAGAAATGTTTAGAAGTTAATTATTTATTTGAATACTTAAATTTAAACGAATCTGTTAATTATTTGCGGAATCACTCTAAATATAGATTTATAAAAAATGATAAATTATAATTACAATTGAAATTCTGATAAAATAAACATATAATAAACTAATCTAAAAAATTACATTTTAATATATCTTTAATGATTATTCTTCTTAATTTCATTTTATAAAGATAATACAAATCCCTAACTCCAACATACTTGTTACTTTCATTAGATTTCTTCTCATTTGTTTGATTTTAGAAAGTTATGATAATTGTTTATAATTATTGTAAAACTAAAATTGAAAATTTGAGTGAAAGTCAAAGAAACAAGACATTTAAAACTACAATCATTTGTTTGTTTTTTCTACTTTAATTCTCGAAACTTCAAAAAATTTAGAAGCATTGAATTTCTTCCTTACTGCTTATAGGGAACTTAGATCTGCTGTTTAAAGTAATGTGCATAATTCTTTAGCACAAGGCTTTAATTGATTCTCGTTCGATGTTTTATAAGTGGGTGTTCTATGATTAATATAAAAGTATTACCTAATCTTATTAACTAAAAATATAACAGATTGGACAATTTAAGAAGGCTTATATATAATAAATTTATATTCAACTAAAGCCAATTCCAGTATATATTAAGCTAACGCCTTATCCTTCGGATCTAAATTGGTTGAGTATTTTTGTAAGAATTAATAAGCAGTGGGATTGCATATATTGAAATTTAAGGCTTATAACATTAAACCTTCCATTTCCAAAACGTCACTTTTCACATACGCATTATCTGTTATGTAAACGAAATCCTTCAAAGCAGGAGGGTAGATTTCTTCGTACTTACAAGCTATAAACAGGGCAGCCACACCTACTAACTGTAATCTCATTCTTGTGACTTGAGCCAGAGCCAAGTATCGATCAATCAAAGAGATTGTAATGTAGAGTGTTTCATCCTTCAACTTGAATTTGGCATGAACATCAATTAACCAATCCACAAGAATAGCTCTCATTTTTATGTTGATATCAGGCTGTTACTCAGGTGTCATGTACTAGTTAATTGTATATTTATTCTTAAATAGTCTAAAAATATTACCTCCTCAATCAGTAGGTGTTGTAAGATCTCATTGGAATATAACTCAACATTTTAAGGATTTTTAACATCCTTGCTCTTTTCGGTTTCTATCTCAATTTAGAATTTTTCTGATTCTCTTCTAAACAGTTTATTTTCTTTATCATCCAAACTCATTGCAAAAACTTTTGGTATTATGGAGAAAGGTTTTTTATGTTTTTCCACGATTATGCCTATCTCCTTGGATTGATGCAAAGTTGAATTTGCTATTTCCTTCCCAAAACATCTTTGATTTTCGATGATCATTCTGTTAATATTAAATAAATTATTATTATCGTTAAAAACTAAACACTTATATATAAAAGTGATAAATAAAGTGAAAATGGATTTTTAATTATCTTATTTATTATTTCAATTTTACCGCTCTTTAATCTGAAATTGAGAAACCATTAAAGGTAGAAACAAAGAAACACTCTGATTCATATAATCAAATGTTATTTTTAATATTGAATATACTGAGCAAATTCTATAATCAGTCAAAGTAAAAGGAATATTCTTATTTTCTCATTTGATATGATTAAGTATTAGGATAATTTTATATTTTAAGACTTCATTTACTATTCGCTTTACAATTTAAAAATCTAAATCAAATCAAATAGTTTATTCTGAAATTTCAGAACTGAATATATTATTTTGTTCTTTACTTGCTGATCAGTCTTATGCTAGATATTGACTCATTTAAAATCTTCATTACTAAATCAATCCCTAAGGGTTATTAACAATACTCAAATAAACTATTAGAAGTTCAGTCTAGAATGGGATTCATAAATATTATGAGATTAGAATTAGTTTTATATAAATTCGATATAAAAGCAATAAAGCAAAGAAAAATGAATTATTTATTAATATTATATTATATTAGAAAATATATGTTTTAGAATTCTGAATCCTCTGAGTGTCATTCTAAGTCTTCTGGATTGGATAATAAGTAAGGGGTAGTTTTAAATTAAGGAAGCAGGATCATAAGATACAAGAAAATAGTAGTTAAAGTGAAAATGACTCAATAGAAAAGAAGGTTAAGTTAAATGATGAAAGAGGATAAATTAAAATATCAAGAAAAATGAGTGATGATTTGATCAAAATCTTTGAAAGATTACCAAATGATTAAATTTCAAAACTTTTGGATGTTATCAAAGTCAAGAATTCACGTATCACTTTAACATAATTCTATTTTATAGCTGATTTGCCTGTTTAAGTCAACTTAGATGACTTAATGTCTAAGGAAGATGACTTTGTCTTGGATAGTTAATCAGATTCTTAGAATGGAAAATTGAGGAAAAGGAGAGAGTCTAAGGAAAAGGAATGCAAATGTTGTAAGTAACTTGTAAAACGCCATCATTGTACACATACAGAATGTGAAAAGCCTTGTTAATTCTTAGAAAAAATAAAAAAAGGCAAACCTTGAAAGTTTAATAAATTTTTACTATAAATCATTTAATTTATATTTAGTCAATTTTTGCATCCTTAATATATGAAAATTCTATACCTTCCATATTTCGTACTTATTCTTTCCTTATCTAAAGAGAAATTCAATCTAGATATATTAATCCACAAAATACCCTATCTAACTTCTTTTTTGGAATATTTTAATTCTTTCGATATTCATTCTAAACATAAAGTTTAATAGTTGATCTTGCTGGCTCTGGTTTCAGATTGGCCCACTTAAGCATTGATCGATAAAATTGCAAAATTTCTTTCTGAAATTTGGATTGCATATTACTATCTATATGATAATTTTAATAATAATATTATTTTTCATAATTAACTTTTTTATGCAAAGAGTATTAATGCCATGGATTGATTGATACTAAAAGTAAAGGAGTGATCAATAAAAAACATAATTCAATATAGAATTTCAAACTAACTCCTTCTTGTATATGAATTATATATTAAAATATATAATATTATTTTAGTGAAAAAAGTAAACTTTTAGTGGAAATCTCCAATAAACAAAGAGTTCAAATAAATGATTGAATTCATTTATAATCATATTCTTAATATTGAAAATGCTATTAAAACTAACACTACTGCCAATTCTAATCCTATAAGTAGCTTCATTTGAAGTGGTCAAAAGTGAGACAGATATTGATGTTACTCTCACCTATAATTATGAAAATGTTAATTCCTACAATCAAATTGATTTGAAAATTGCTTTTCAAGGTGCATACCTAAAGAAGATTACAAAGTTGATAGCAATAACATTAAGTGAATTTGACATGAGCGATTCAGGTTTCAGCGTTGACTGTTAATATCCACTCCAAATTTAACCTCCTAAAGTAATATATACTAGTGAAGATCGATAAATTTACTTTTTCATGGCATTCTTTAATAAAATAAAAAATCCTCCAACTCCTGGAGAAAAAATCATCAAGATTACAATTATAAATGGAACAAAAACAATAAATATGTTTTTGGTCTTGGAAATTAAAGATGATCAATTGAAATGTTAGGCTGACGGAAATGGGATTACATTTGAACGGTCTAATCTTTAATTTTCATTTTAATACGACTTTTATTAAATTGAACATAAGCCTATAATGTTTCAGGATTTATAATTTTAATTAGAATTCCCAGTATTCACTAGTCATTTTATATCTTGCACTAATTTCACAGGCCTATCAAATGGACAGGATTGCCAATCAAAAGAAAATAGTATTTATGTATTCAATCGAAATGTGGAGTTCCTTTATAATGAAAGTCAGCACTCCTTTATTATTAATAACTTTACATATCCTTCTAATTTAGAGGTATACACAGCAACTATTAAGATTTTTAACAGCGGCAATAAATTATCTGAAGGTTAATTCAATTTTGGGGCATATGCTCCATCTGAAATAGAAAGAATAGTGAAAGGTATCCTTCATTTTAATTTTAGTGAGCTCTAATAGTTATGCGACATAATATACAACCTTATAAATACTACTGGACTCTTAGAAATATATACTTGCTAATTCAGATATGTAATTTACATTATCAATATTATTGGTGATTGATAAATTAATCATAAATGATATTGAAAAATCATTTGTTTAGAATGACAAGGTTATTTCTATAATTGGATTTAATGATTAATTGTTAGAACAGTTTAGATTAAAGGTTGAATTCTAATTTTAGAATTTAGAGTATAAGCAAGACATAAAATTCTCATTTTTAATTAACAAAATAAGTGCAAGTTTATTTGGAGATCTTATTTATTCTATTGAGCCAAATAGATATAAGAGTTTTATTGTTAGTAGAGATACTGAAGTAGTAGATGAAGAAACAAATCTGTATATAAACATTGAATTGTAAAACCCTATCGTAAATGGAGTGATATATATCCAATTCCCCAAAGAATTGAATTTGGTTTAATGGGAAAGTTAAATAGTAAGTGGATCATCATTTAGTTTTACCTATTGGATTAAAAATCCATCAACAATATGTTAAACTAGTAGATTTGAATCACAGGCTTATTAAAATGATCAATTTAGAGAGTAACTATTATCAGATGTTGTTCTAATTCAGAAACCTAATTAATTAATCAAGAATCTATAAATATCCTTAAGCAGTTTATTAAGTGTAGATAAGACTAGCTTATCTGTGTCTTTAGAGAGTTAATATATAGTTTAACTTCGTTTTGATGATACAATAAACATAAATGAAATTAAATGCCAAAATTGCAAAAGGATAAATTTTTCAGTGATAGAATTATCAAAAAATAAGGATGTTATTTTTAATATAGAAACACCTAGATTAGCAAAGGAGTCAAAATTATTAATTTCAACATATGCAAAGGAATGTTAACAAAGTTAAATCGAATATTAATTAGTTTTTAAGCCAAATCAATTTCAAATTGTTCCATAAATCACCACAAGAGAATTAAATGCATTAAATCAATGGTAATTTAGCATCGAATTACCCTGCGACATTAATGAATAAGATAAATTGAAAATTCATTATCCTACTAATTTGATCATAAAGTAAAAGCTTTAATGTAAATTCTTGAATTTTTAACAGAATAACTTTGATTGCAATACTGAAATAAATGATTTGCCTCTAATGAAAAAACATTAAGTTTTACGTCTCCTTATTTCATAACCATTAAATCCATCTAAACCTTAATTACTCGAATGGTAATTTATTCTAGTTGATAAGAATGGAGATTAAATAGCCATTTTCAATTCTAAGTTCCAAGATTGGGAATATGAAAAAATTTAGTTATCCAATATACAACTTATGGATAACAAATTTATATAAATGAAAGAAGCATTATTACGAATTGCCTTGTAGTTTTAGGTGGATGTAATAAAATATGAGGGAAATATTATAATATATTGTGATGGCTGTAAACAAGAATAGAATTAAATTGTCTATATCAATATGGAAGGAAATGGTTTGTTAGAAATTCCATTCAGATTTTTTACTATTCCAAATCAATATGTCTATTTATTCACATATAAACTTACTACGTATTATAAAGGAGACATCCAATAATAAGGATATTTTAAGTAATCTATCTCATTATCTTGTTCAAATGATTGTGCCGAATGTGAAAGTTATGATAAATGTTCAATCTGTTTAGTTGGATATCTGTATAATTCTACTTGTGTAGATGAATGTCCAGTCAATTATTATGCATTAAATGGCTAATGCTATCCTTGCTCAATTGGAAAATGTACAGCTTGTGCATTTTTAGAGAAAGAAATTTGTTTAGAATGCGAGGGAGATTTAGATCTTTATTTAAATTAATGCGTTACTCAAGATTATTACACAGATTATAACAACACTAATTAAACTAATAATAATCAAAACTAAAATAACAACTAAATTATTGATGAATAGAGTTTCTTAGTAATATACAATTTTCCTGGTCTTTTGTTAATAATATTTTTAATTTGCCTCTACACTATTATAATCAAGATTCTAAATTACTCAAGCATTTCAAAAACCATTTGTTTTTCATATTTCTCCCTCCTAGAAAATGGAATCAGTATTTTTCTTATCATAAAGTAATTATTCCAATTATATTGATAGATTTATAATATAAGGACTGTATGACTTAGCCTTTCTATCTTTTTCTTTATTGGCATTTCAAATTATGCTGTAATTGAATAGTTTACTATAGCTTAAGACTTACATTATGATTGATACGAAATATCAGCAATTTAAAAAGGAGTATTGGTCTATTAAAAACGGTTTTTTGGATATCATGTGGATTCAATTATGTCTTCTTCATTATCCAGACATCTAAATTGAATAAACATCCAAAGTGGGATAGCAGATGGCAATATAAGAATGAGATTTTGAGACAGATTGCTAATTCTCTTAGATAATCTCTGCTGTATTCGATTTTATAAATAACAATTGCAATTACTAGCATGTTGGAGTTACGGTAGATACACACAACATTTTTGGAGATTTTGGGTGTGAATATGATGAATATAGGGTTGAACTTTTATCACCAATATAAATTTAATAACTTAGGTGACAGAGTCTCATTAATAGAATGATTTTATTATGATTTTATAATTTAAAGATAGTAGATCAATTCCACTTGATTTTGGTCAAGAACAGTTTTTCTAAAATGATTTTGCCTTCCTTGTACTTCTCAGATTACTCATAAGCATGAAGCTTTAATATTGTAATTCATGGCATTACATATTTCCATCCGAGATATGTTTGACATTTGATGCACATGATGTCTTGAGTGGTATGTAATCCAGTTCTTAGTCTTTTATCTTCTGGTATGCCTGTCAGATAGTTCACACTTTTATTATTGTAACTCTTACCCTTTTTCGAAGAGAAATGCGGTTCCAGACTTTCCTGTGAATTGCTATAACTTAACTCAAGGAATTACTTTAGAAGTCAAGTAGTCTTGGTTGGAAAGATGAACATTGCAGTTCTTGCAAGCATAAATTTTCTTGCCTTCAAGGTATTCGATTATAATTTTTCCCATGTTATATTTATTTTTAATAAATTTATATTATTGAATGCCTTTAAAAAAGGAAGGTTTCCAGTCTGTAGGTGAGTTTTTGAGTTTCTCTTTATCCACAGACGATTAAGCAAGTTCTGATCAAATCAAAACAGCACTTTTCTTCGTGAGACAAATAGTATCAGTCCTTCTAGGATTAGCGGCAGGATTTTTACATTTACAAGGCATATTGACAATTTTGGGATTTTTGTTTTTGTCGATGGGATTTTCATACTATTATGTCTTCAAATACAAATAAGTACGATCTGCAAAATGATTGATTAGGTCGATGAAGATAAAATAGAGAATACAGAAATATACACAGAGGGATTGGGAGCTTCAGTGGGTGAATTTTTATTAACATGGACCCTAATTCATACAGTGGCTTGAATATTATGAAATGTTTTACATATAAAATTATAGTAAATATCAATGTTCTCATATATAATCGAGAGATAAATAATACGTAAAACATAAAAACAACATTGAATCAATCAGAATTAGTGTCTGCACACTGGACATTGCTTTTTGACTTAGAGCCAACTTATCAGACAACTTTCGTGAAACTTGTGGGAACAAAGAGTCAAAACTATTGAATCCTGAGAATCAAGTTAAATTTGTGAAGAATTAGTTATTTCGATGCCCTGAAGACAAATTGCGCATTCAACATTGGTGTTCATAACCAAATCATCAAAGGTTGAATAAATGTTTTGCTCCCTTATTTATTTGGCAAAGTCCTTGACCTAAGACTTATTGTAGTAGAGTTAGGGTTTGATGTGAAACTAATAGAGTAGAATGCACTGCTGAATGCATATGAAAACGGTTACGCTTATGCAAATTCCCAGGTTTTCTTGGAGTTTAAAGATATTGCTGGGGCAACCTCTGTAGTAGGAGAAAAAAATTAAAATGCAGTAGTCTTCGAGAAAGCAGAAATAGGTGATGTTGGGCATTTAGTTATTTTGGTGACATTTAATGATTTATGGTATTTTGTAAATGCATAAAAGCTGATGCATTAGATCCGAAAGAATTGGAATTGTGAACCACTAAATTGTTATGAGCAAGGCGCATCCAAACATCATAAAGATTTGTATTCCCAAGAATTCAAATATTGGGTAGTCTTCTCTGAGGATATGATTTTCGTATCTATATATTTTCAAAAGCCATCTATAATCTGTCAGCAATAAGGTCATAGCAAATAGGCTTGTTGACATCATTAGGAAGAGGTTGAATTAACCCATTTCTGACACATTGTCCCACTGTTTAAAAAACAATGTGGAATGAAGTAGTAGAAAATTGAATTACATCTGAATTTTCATCAGAACAGCCAAAGTTGATTCCTATCATAATATCATGATCACTTATTTACGGTTTCGTAATGTGATGATGCCATCTAGTTAACTTTATAGCGATGCACACCAGAACAGAAAGCTTTGAATATAGTTAGTGAAGTGAAGATTTTCAGATAATCGATTGCATCATTTTACATTTTTAATTATTTATTTAATCCTTTTAAATTATACTCTCAACTTCATCTTATTGGCACAACAGTTAATTAACAGTAATTCGCATTTCTAGGTAATCACTACTCTCGATTTATTACGATTTATATATTCAATCAGGGTATTAATCACATATTAAAATCTTTTTTTTAAAATTTAATACAATGGTCAGCAGATTGAGAAAGTGTAGAAAAATGAGAGGACATGTATGCCATGGTTACGGTAGAGTTGGCAAACACAGAAAACATCCAAGTGGTAGAGGTGTTTCAGGAGGTTTAACACATCATAGAATCAATTTCAATAAATACCATCCAGGTTATTTCCAAAAAGTACCCATCTCCTCCTATTCCTCCTCTAGACCGGTATGAGACATTTCCATTTGAAAAAAAACACACTCCACAGACCTGTAGTCAATATTGACAAATTATGGTCACTTGTCACTGATGAAACCAGAGAAAAATATGCTAAATCAAAGGACAAAGCTGCTGTTATCGATGTCACCAAGGCTGGTTATTTCAAAGTCCTAGGAAAAGGCAGACTTCCAAATTAACCAGTCGTTGTCAAAGCTAAGTTCTTTAGCAAAACTGCAGAGAGAAGAATCAAAGCAGTTGGAGGAGCATGCATACTTGTAGCTTGATACATTACACATTACAATATAAATCACAAATATTTCATTTTTGCAAAGCTATACTATTTTAAATGTTTTATAACAATTAACAAATTTCTTGGACTATTTTTAATTATTATTGATCCATTATTTTTTAACACTTTTAAGTGAAATTTATATTATAATAAGATATTATTTATTATTTCATGATCAAATTACCAGAGAACATCTCAACACTTAAAACTTCCAAAGATAAATAATTCAAAGGTATTTCCTATTCATTTATTATCCAGTTCATATCACCTATTGTGGTGGATGAGGATATTGGTCTCAATACAACTTGGCCTAACAATACATTAAATCATTATATCCTCAGGCTGAAGTGACAAGCAAATCCTAAGATAAAATAACTGGAGAAATGGAAATAACCGTGACTAGAAAGGATTCTAAATCTGAACTAATTCACTCTAAATTACGTGGAGATGGTCCTTTCGGAGCATTTTCAGCAGAGAAAGCTATGAAAAAGCTTGTCAATTTTATTGAAAATTGAAAGAATACATAACCATGTCGTTTTAGATCATCTCAAGACCTAAAATGAAGAATCCTTCTTAAATATTATAGTTGGACTCTGATTTAAATATAGGATCTTTTAATGATTTAAAATCTGTTATAAAATTTTATTAAAATTTTAATAAATACATATCATCATTGTTATTCTTCTTATTAATTCTGATTCGATATTTCTTCATCCTTATTAATTTTCATTTCTTCTGATTATTACTATTTACTTTACTCTTACTCTTGTTAGTTCTATTTATTTTCCTTTATCGAATAAGTACTCGCCTAGTTTTTCAATATTTCGCTTTAATTCATACGATGTTTTTATTTCTGTTCTATTTTACCTGTAGAATCACAATAATTCAGTATCTACTGCAAATCTGACTTACTATTCTTCACTGTTTTGGATTAATAAAGCCGTTCGACTTGTTGTTACTATTCTGTAAAGGAAGGCTTACAAAGAGAAGGCAAAGAAAATTGATACCCTTTCATAATATTTTCACGAAAAAAAGAGTTTTCATTTTAGCTCTTATTGATTTATCCATTTATTTTCATCATGAGCATAGTAGGCAATTGGGCATAAGGACTACGTTATTGTTCCTTTGGTAATTTGGAAGAACTGTAAGATTTAACATGAGTGGGCATTGACACAGACATATTATTTTTATACTCCTTTATACTTAAATGCATTGCAGTTGTTAGATCATTTTTAAGTGAGGTTCCGAACTATTGCGAATGTTTTAATTTGCTTCATAAGTTGCAAATAAAAGATACCTTAACAATCGTTATTCTTGATTGGTCAATTATTCACATAGCTGATGTTATTCTAATATTCTTTTTGCTAATTGTTCTTTGAACTCCTTTTCTTCTGATCTGATTCTGTCAATTTTATCTATCTGTCTTTATTTTAAATCAAGTTTAAGATTAAATTCCCACTCTGAAATCTAATCAAATAAAATGATTTGAGTACTTTTGCATATTATTACTACTTCTCTAATAGCTATTGATCTCTTTTTTTTTAGTTAATAAGCATGTCTAAATCCAATTTTTATTTCATCTATTAGGTTTGAAGATACTTTTCTTCCAACATATCCTATTTAGTTTGTCTTAGTTCTTCATTCAATAACACTTTATTTCTTTGAATCATATATTAAGCTTAGTCATTATTTACAGCATTATCCTGGAGTATTTGGTTCAACTAAATTCTGTTAGTAATGAAGTTACCTTCATTTGATCATAAAACTTTTGTTTTTTGGAGTGAACTATCTTATCTACTTTAGTTTTCAAGATATTATTGTTTGCTTATTGCAAATTCAATTATTATTTCAATTAGACTATTCTGTTTTCTAACACTGAGAGTTCTTGATTTTTCTGATTCAATTGTTTTATTTGTTAAGAAACTGTTTCCATGTATATATAAAAAATAATAATAATAATATTAATGAATTATAAATTATGTTAAAGTATTATAATTAAAAAGGAATGCAACACAACAAAGCGTCAGCATGATGAGTGGGTATCAGAAAACATTACTTTTCTGTGAAATATGAAGGATAGTATCTTATAAATAGGAAGAAGAAGCCCTTCATTTAAAACATAATCCACAAGGCCCTTTAATCCAGGAAATTTTGGTATTCTTTTTTGTCTAACTTCCATTTCAAAAATTGGCGATGTCAAGGTGCAGCCTACAGAATTCATTTTAGTGATTGATGAGCTTTATTTCTAGTTAAATGCGGAGATTGCTTCACAAGACAATTTTGTTGAGACCGTTTTGCATTTGAAGGAATATCGCAAGCAATTGGAAGGCAATTATTAGCCTATTCAATAGAAGGTTAATTGATGAATTAAACAAAGAAGCATTTCCTAAAATAAAATAGGAGGTAGAGAAAGATTATGGAGATAAAGTCTCAAATAAGATTGACATTAAAATGATGAGGTTATAAAATGCAAAGAGATTTACCCATATCTTATAAATTTGATGCAAAAACCAAGATTAAATCATAATTTGTGGATTTTTTATGAAAAAGGCAACTGGCATTTGAAGAAACAACTAAGATTGATGATAATGAGCAGATTTAAAGATTAGGATCTAATTGATTAGGTAACAATAACTGAAAAAGTTTTACTATATAATGACTATTCAATAGAGAAGAGTAAATAAGAGGGAACACTCAAAAGCAAATCATTATTTTCAAAATATTTCGTTGTTTGATTATGTCAAAAATAGGGGATTTATATTATAATTATAAAAATTCTTTTTAATATAATTTTTTATTTGTTAATAATAAACTAATATTAAATTTGAAAATGAATTTTTTTGAATAGAGTTTTGGAAAAGAGGATCCCTTTTAAAAGACAGCCTAATTCTTTAATCCTGAAGTCACAAAAACTAAGTAATAAATGCTCAGAAGGAGAAGAGAGAATTCTTTACCTTAATAAAATCTGGCAGCAATCAAAAATATGTTGTTGAAAACTAAATTATTACAAAAAAATCCTGTTTCAAGAAAATCTACGATGCATTCAATCAAGGATTCTAATAAAGAAAATTTAGGTAATTAACAAAGCACCAAATAAAGTACAAAGCAAAGTACATAATAAAGTGCTCAAGATGTCTCGGATGTTTGTTATAATATTTTCAATTATCTTGATTAGAATATCAAGCAATCTCCAAATTCTTTTATTCAATAACAGTATGAATCCTGCAAACCTGTCAAAAAATCCAATATTTTTTAATACAATAGTTAAGATACAAGTCAAATAGAAAACAATTCTAAAAACTATAAAATGTCAAGTCAAGAGAAAAAGAGAACCATTAAGGTAACAGATCCCTATGGCATATTTACTAAATAATTAATTTCAGTTCCTAGAAAGTATTCATCAAAATCCTTTGTTAATCAAAAAGCTTAAATCAAATTAGTTGATAGAATATTTTCATCCAGATCAGATAGTTTGTAGGAATGAATTAAATAATGGATTAAATGGCTTTTTTATTTTATATATTTATACTAATTAGACAAAATTTTATTGTTTTATTAATTAATTATCGTTATCATTATTAATTTTTCAAAAAAACAAAGAATGTTAAAATAAATAAAACTTAACAAATCAGAATCTAATGACTCTGTTACTCAATCATTTTTAGCTAATATTGAAAAGAATAAATGTAACGTTAATTTGATATAACATTAGAACTTAAAACCGATGCGATTAATATTTATGATTTAAATAGTATCAAATTGCAAGCTGATGTAATTCTCAAAAATATTGAGAACTAAATCAATAGTATACTTCATATAATAGATAGAATGTTCTTAATGGAAATCATCGAAAGAGTAACCTTTATCCTTAAATACTACTTAAAATACTAGAATTTAATAGTAAGATAGACAGTGGAGTACCTCAATAAACAAAAAAATTCAATAGCCAAGACCTTTCTCGGCATTATCGGGAGTTGGTACAAGAATTAAGCGATTCGAAGATGCGAAAGACAAATAGAAAATAGAATCTTAACAATAAATAATTGATAAATGTCCTTTACCATAAAAACCACCAAAAAGTGCTTTAGCATTGAACTAATTATGCAATCAAGAATTGATTATGGGAAATTTCAAGTTGGAAACAATACTGGGATCAGGATCATTTGCAATGGTTAGATTAGGTATTGATAAAAATTCGAAAGAGAAATATGCTATTAAAATTTATGAAAAAATAAAATTGAATGATTCTCAGAAAATGAACAATGTAAAAAGAGAAATATCCATCTTGAAAAGGATTGAACATCAAAACATTATCAAATTGTATTGGGCAATAGAAGATAAAAAATCAGTACTTTATTATAATATAAGATCAATTTAGTCATGGAATATATTTCCTCATAATCTTTGGCTTCGTACATAAAGTCTAAGCCAAATAGAATCTTGCCAGAAAAAGAATGTTTAAGTTTGTTCTATCAAATTGCCATGGCTATCAAATATTTGCATGATCTAAACATATGTCATAGAGATATCAAATTAGATAATGTTTTAATGATGAAAACTAATGTTGTAAAACTGATAGATTTTGGTTTTGCCATTTGCATGCCTCTAAATTAAAAAACTAACGTATTTTGTGGGACGCCTCATTATATGTCTCCCGAAATAATAGCAAAGGTAATGTTACAATTTATTTAATAAGGTTCCTCATCACCCTGCTAGTTCAGATATTTGGTCTTTAGGTATACTTTTATCTAGAATGATAACAGGAGAGTATCCTTTTAAAGGATAAAATGATAAAGATCTATATAGATAAATATAGTGTTAAAAAGTAAAAACTAATTAAGATAAAAAAATTAACGAGAACGTAATGAGAGTAATAAATGGATGTTTAGAAAAGAATGTTTAAAATAGATGGAGCATTGATCAAGTAATCAATGATCCTGTATTTCATAAAGACATCTTAATACCATCAGTAAAAGTATTTTGAATTAATGATTAACAAAGATATATATAATTAATATCATTTAAATTAAGTCACTATCCTTCTTGAGTCTTAGCTTTATAATTATATGACTAAACTCCATTATCATTTTTTTATTTTGGGTTTTCCATGAGCTTTATTACTATTGAATGATTACTTTTCTTGACATTTTGCTTATTTTTGGAGTGAAAGATGGTTTCATGTTTTATATCTATTCCTCTATTTTATTTTATCTATTCTATTAGAATTGTTCTATTCTCTAATCAAATTTTTTTCCTTTTAATTTCTTATCCAAAATCTAAATGTATAGTTAGTAAATATACTCGACTTGATTATTCATTAAGCACTGGTTTATAAAGAAACTCACTTTCATGTTAGGATGCTTCCCAAAGTTTCTTCTCAAATTCTTTTTCAAAAAAGTCAGCTCTCTTTTACATAAATTTCTATTATTCTTTAAAGAACTCCTCTATTTAATCCTTACTTACTTTTTTTCCTAAATTTAATAACTATTATTACTTTAAAGATATTATTATTATTCATTTAACTTTTCGTTTGATTTTTATTTAGCATCCTTATATTCTTTTTCATATTAGTATCGAATGTGAATTGGAATCAAAGGGTTACTTTTGATAGAACTACTATTTTTTGATTTTTCTTTCTATTCTTATGAATTATTTAATTTAGTATATAAATCTTAGTTTTGATTATTCAAACCATTAAATTAGCATTCTTTTTCATTATTTTATTTATCAATTCTTGAATCAATTTGATACTCAATACTAATTTTGGTTTTCAGTTTTCTTTTTTCAAATTTTTTTAGTTTGGTACAATCAAATTAAGTTTATATATTCTAATGCCTAAACTTGAGGAATTCATCCAATTCTTACTATATTTTGATACCTTTCTCTAACTTTTTCTTTGAACCTTTGCTGATGAATGTTTATTTATCTTCTATCTAAACACTATGAGATGATTATTTATTTCCTCTTTGATTTGAATCCCATAAACTGATAGCATCATGGCTTAACAATTTTTCTCTAGATAAAGATAATTAGAATCTAGTTGAATTTTGATCAACTGTAATGTTGTTTGTTCTGAAGATTGGTGAAAAATGTTTTCTTTTCGCCCTTGGATTGCTAATTACTTTAATTATGTAAATTTTACATTTTTTTTCCACATGAGTAGATGCTTCGAAATCAGAAACTGTAATCTCATTTGTCTCTTGGTTAATCAACGTTTATTGATTGCTTTGATTTTATTCAAACTACTCTTTCAAATTTTTCTTCTCAAATTCATAGATAGGCTTCATGTTTTTCTATTATACAGCCTTGGTTTGCTGATTCTATTGCTTTTAACTTTTCGCTTAAAAATATGACAACTGGGAAAATTTTCTCAAATTCATTAAATAATTATTATATACAATTTCTATCAGTTACTATCAAATCCTTAATAAGTCTTTTATGAGAGATTTAATTAGGTCAATATAAAAATTAACAACATTTTGTAATCAATAAAGAATACTTTATTAATTCCATAATATTAATACACATTAAAATTATTTATGATCAAGATTATGTTTCTTTTTTATTTAAGAAAATGAGATAAAATTAATAAATATATTGATATTCCAATTAATTTATTTTATTATTGGAAGATTTTTGAACACCTGACGTATTTAATTCATATTTAAACATGATTTTGTATATATATTTGAACTTATTTATGTTTCAATAAAGAACCTAATTAATTTAGTTAAGGCTTATGCTGTAAAATCCTAAATGGAGGAAATTAATGTCATCTGCTTTTGGCAAAAGATACTGTAATATTCATCAGTATTGTTAAGATTTTTGATATGAATACATATATTAATTTTTAATAAAAATCAAAACAATAATATTTTTAAATAATATGCAAGATAGTAGTGATAATTTCTAAGATTCTTAAAGTTAAAGCTCAGAATAAAGATAAAAAGGAAGTGTGCCTTCATTTTTAGTAAGACTGTTTGACATTATGGAAGTATTATCTAATAAACACAATAGAATGAAGATCTAAAAGAAATTATTGGATGGAATACTGAGGGAAACGCATTCATTGTAAGAAATTAACAATTGCTTGCTGATAAAATATTGCCAAAATATTTCAAACATAAGAATTATCCAAGCTTTTTAAGGTAAATTTTGATTCTAAATTTTAGATAACTCAACATGTATAATTTTAAAAAAAGTAAAGCAGACGAGATTAATTAAAAATTTGAGCATAAATGGTTTCGAAGAGATGGAAGAGCCTTATTGAATAATATCAAAAGACGAAATTAGGAAGAAAATGACGATAAAGATGTTAAATATTTATTAAGAATCTTAGGAAATTCCATAAATTGTTGATGAAATTGAGCAATTTAAGAAAGCATAAAAGGAACTAAAAAATGAAATTTAAGCTATAGCTGACAGTTAAAAATAACTATAAATAGCACTCTAATAAATTATGCAACAAAATGAAACACTATTCTAGGAAAGTCAACAATTAACATAAGAACTATCAAATATGCAATCTAAAAATTAATAGAGATTCGCTAATTACTCGAATATTTTAACTGAAATTGTTCAAAGATTGTAATAAGAATAAGAAGAAGAATTAAGTAATTCAAATTAATTATTGTAGGGAATAGGGATAATAATTAACCATAAATAGCAGGAGAATAAAAAAAGGCTAGTGTCATACAAATAAAACAAGAGCAGCCTAGCCAATAATAATAATAATTCTTTTCTCAATAGTAAAATAATTTGTCAGCAAATTCTCTTCAATTTTTGATGAATATGAGTGCTAATAAGAATGCATTTAATTTCTAGATGTTTTCATAATTAAAACAATAATAGGGAAATATGCAAATGTTTTAAAATGGTTCTGCATAATAACCTTAAAATGATGTGAGGAAAAATGAAATAAAAAAAGAAAGCGAATAATGATTATTGATTAATAAAAATCTAAATACATTTGATTTGTATTTATATTAATTCTAGAACTCTATTTAAAATAATATAATACAATCTCTAATCATTGTAAATAATAATTATATAATTCCTAACTAACCATTCCTATAGTATTATAATCTCTTTAGAGTATCCATCATTTCTTATGCTTTCTTTTATCAATAATCATTTAATTTTATTACTAGTTTAATCTCAAATTTTATTTTTAGATCATAACCCTTAATAAATATTTGGATTTTAGAATGATAAATATTAATATTTATTTATTTTCGCTAATTGGAAATAAATCAATAAATAGTTTTGATAATTAAATATAAATATGTTTTGAATCTCGAAAAATCAGGTTTCATTATAGACTGTTGCGTCAATTCAAATCTATTATAAAAATATTTATAGTGTATGGTATCCAAGTATATGAAATTGCAGTTTATAAAATTTATCTTAAGAATTAAATGACTCAATGTTGCATAATTTAAACTAGAAAAGTAATATACAGTTTATTTTCCTAAAATATAATAGATTTCATAAAAACCTATCCATTATATTTTATCTTTTAATATAAATTGATTGTCTACAAGTCCAAAAGGAAGATTTTCAAACATCTGGTCAAATAATTTAATTAACTCTAGAAAAATTAACAAGAAAAGATTAAAATGTTGAATTGTATGCTTGTTTGTAGCCTAAATTTAGATAATAGGTTCCTATTAAATTCTATTCATCCTAATTGAGACTTCTAATTTAGCTACTTGTGGAATTGGTTCATTTAATAATATAAAAATAGTCATTATTATTTGTGGTCATCATTTGTGATTCTAAAGTAATATTAACCACTTACGGATTCTGATTAAAATATCATTTTAATTCATAAAAATTATATCTATTCTATTAGTGATAGAGTAATAATTTAAATTTGTAAATTTCATAAATATAAGTATAAGGTATTATTTTGATATTAAATATTGTTTATAAATCATATGAAAAGCGAATAAGTATTAAACTTGTTTTGTTGCGAGAAAAAACAAATGAATACTCTACAAAACTGTTACAACACAGCCAGGATTGGAACAAATAATAGAAAAACCTCAATTCAGTTAAAAGACCTAAGTGGTGGAAAAAAGGACTCTATTTTAATATAAAAAAAATAAGTGGCTAAACCGAAGGCTATTTTGTAAACTTGTCAAAGTTCTAAGACATTAACCAACTAAAAAAGTATATCTCTTGTTCTATATAGGTGATGAACATTTAAAAATAAAGTAATCAGGAGTTTAAAGAAAATCGGTCAAAGAAATTGATGGTTAATAAAATCTCAAATAAGGGGATACTTACAAGTCAATATCACCCAAGGTGGTAATAAACAACGATAAAATCAATGTTTATTTTGTGAAAGAAGTCTCTAAATACCATATAAATACAGAAACAAAATCACCAAAAGAAGAAACAATAAGCACCGAAAACACATTAATTTTATAAGAAATTTAATAATAAAGAGTCTACCTAAAGACAACCTAATAATAAACAACAGCACCTGGCAACAACTAAATTTTCTCTAACATACCAAAAAGTATGTTAAGTAATCATAAAAGCTTTATAAATTAATCAACCAAAAAACTTTAGGACAACAAAATTCATAAATGAATTGTTTTATAACTTGATAATATTTTGAGATATAATTATTATGTATGACAGTTATATAAATCACCTCAGTTTTCTTCAAAAAATATTGATAAAACCAAATTCAGTAGAATTCTAATTACACTCATCTTATATTACATGAAATGCAAAAAGATGAGTTTCATTTCATTCACGATTGCTTATATATTAAATTTTCATGTGATGCTTGTCAAAATTAAAAAAAAGTAAATAAAAATTATTGCTATTCTTTTTGTTTCAAATCGTAAGAGTTACTATAATTGTTGATGTAAATATTTATGAATCTCATTTTATTCCTGTCTTGTGTTTCTTTATAATTCTTTGCTTTCTTATTGATTGATTTTCAATTTATTTTTACATATGAGAATAATGACTTGAGATTAGCCTAATTATCAGCAGCAAATACAGAGGAGTGTATTTGGTAAGTAATTTGAGAATGTAAGAACAAAGAATTAGAATTTTAGAATTTCTAAAAATCTTAATAATACGATGTGTTGATTGAATTAAATATTCTATATCTATTTATAGAATTTGTAATTTAAGAACTTGGGAAAAATCCTAGTTATCAAATTAAATAAAATAATATTAGATGGGCCATCTATCTTCATTACTGAAAAAGAACTGGATCCTCTGGAAGAGGAACTTTTTCTGTTCTACTTGTGAAATTATTTTACCATTACTGCTAATAGTAGCATTGGGAGGAATAAGGTAAAAAATTATTTGAGTTCTAGACGCATTATACATAAGACAAATATTGATGAAACTGGGTTTTTACAGCCTAAATTAGACTGGCTATCATCAGATCCTAATGTACCAGTGATGTTATCTCCTTTTATCGATGAAAGATAAATAGAAAATAATATTATGGCCATAGATAAGTGGAATCCAAGGTTGAATCTCGTTGAAAATCTTAAGAGTTTGGATACTGAAACGAGATTATCAGTATTGCCTAAAATGAAGTATTAATTAAGTTGAACTTAGAAATTGCATAGACAACTATAATTATGACGAGGATAGCTATTGGTTGAACGGACATGTGGTGCTTGGGCCAAGCCAAGATCATAAGATTGTAAAGGAACTGAAGTATATTTTTGAAAGTAAAGATATGTTACAATGAAATTAGCCTATTATGATTACAAAACTTTAATCTTTAAGAACAATGATGATCTTGATACTTACACTTCAGATTCAGATTATGGAAAAGGGGGAGTTCCTAGTGTATGTTTTGCTGTGATGTTTAATGAAACAGTCGGGAATAATATCTATGACTATCAATTGAGATTCAATACTAGTGGATTATTTGATTATGAAATCCCTCCAACAAATGAAATTGATGTGGATCCAGTTAAATATCAAGATTATGACAAAGCGAATGCTTATTGGAAATCTGGTATGCTAACAGTGTAGACTTTTGTGGATAACGTTATTTTGAGGATCGAAACTAACAGTTAAGTTTCAATAACTCCAAAATTCTCCTATGGTATTTATTAGTTTAATTCAATTAGTGCATCAATAGGATGGAGTTAAGGATGATTTTGCAGAGTTTTTAAGAGGGTAATTCGGTGTATATTTGATATTGCCTCTGATAATCATATATTTGAGAATGACCTATGCGATGATCTATGAAAAGGAGAAAAAGCTAAGGGAAGGTATGAAGATGATGGGGTTGAACAACACTTCATTCTATTTATCATGGATTATCCAGTATCTCATAATCTATACAATCATATCAATTCTTGCTACAATACTGTTATCGGGCATTGTATTTACTCATACTGATGGGTTTGTGTTGTTCTTGAATTATTGGCTATTTTGCATAGTCTTGATATTCTAATCTATGTTCATAAGGTAAAAATTAATGTAATCCTAGTGTGTTTTTTACAAGAGCATTGTTCGGATTGATCGTAGCAATCGTTTGGTACTTGTTGATGTACATGGTGATCAGTTTAGTTGGCAGTGGAGAGTAGATAGTTCCTGAATCAACCTATTGGGGAGCCTCAATATCTTCTCATGCAGGAATGTCCTTTGCTTTTGATGTTATGGTATTGTTTGAAGCTCAAGGGAGAGGTGTTTCGATGTCATCTATATCTACCAAAGTTGACAACTATGCAGTTAATATTGCTTTGATAATGCATCTCTTGAACATATTCTTCTACTTGATATTGTCAATTTATTTGGATCTTGTATTTCCAAATGAATGGGGTAAGAAATTACATCCGTTATTTTGCATTCCCTATTTTAATAGATCAAACAATAGTGGATAGTCTAAACAACTGAGGAAGAAGTCATCCCAAGTCCATCAAGAAAGATATGAGGAAGTCGAGTAGGCTTTGAAAGACTAGGAAAGTAGGTCAGAAGTACTTAAAATCTCTAATCTTTCTAAAATTTATCCAAGTGGAAAACAAGCAGTGAGTAATGTGAGTCTGACAATGTATGTCGGCTAAATTTATGCCTTATTGGGACACAATGGTGCAGGTAAGACCACAACCATTTCTATGCTGACCGGTCTCTTAGATATGACTTCAGGAGAAGCAACAGCATTTGGATATGATATTGAAACTTAAATTGAAGAAATTAGATAATTCATGGGAGTGTGTCCATAACATGATATTTTATTTGATAATTTGACAGTCAAAGAACATTTGGAAATGTTTGCTACTTTTAAAAGGAATGAATCCAAAACGATATTCCTGCAGCTGTTAGAAGAATGATTGAAGATGTGGATTTACTAGAAAAGACTGACTATCTAAGTAAGAATCTATCAGGAGGACAGAAGAGAAGATTATCAGTTGCAATTGCATTTATTGGTAATTCTAAACTTATCTATTTGGATGAACCTACTTCAGGAATGGATACGAGTGCTAGAAGATACATTTGGGAAATGCTTAAGAATTACAAAGAGGATAGAATCATTGTATTGACAACTCATTTTATGGATGAGGCTGACTTTCTAGGTGATAGAATAGGTATCATGGGAGAGGGTAAATTACAGTGTTCTGGAAGTAGTGTGTTTTTGAAGAATCAATTTGGCAATGGTTACAACCTTACTATTGTAAAAGAAAGTACTCTTACTGATTCAGAACCAATAATCGATGTAATAATGAAGTCTTGTCCTGAAGCTATTTTGATTTCTAAGGTTTCCGCTGAAATTCTCATGTAATTACCTTTGAATGCTGTGAATAAATTCCCAAAATTATTTATAGATTTAGATAATAATTGTGAAACGACTTTACATATTTACAAGTTATGGGATCAGCATCACAACCCTGGAAGAAGTGTTTTTAAAGGTTGCCTAAATTGGAGCTGGACATAATTAAGTGAATGATTATATGGAGTTGGAGGATAAAAACAAATAAGCCATTAAAATCGACGATTTCGATATTAATTAAATAAGAGTGACTAATCCGACTTTATTGTTTTTCAATCACACTCTTGCTTTACTTTTGAAAAGGGTTAGATTTTTTAAGAGAGATATGATGAGTTTATGTTGTGAAATCCTTTTACCATGTTTGGTTGTACTTGTCGGTCTGATCTTAATGACTATAAATTTCATCACTGAACCTGATATTATTATTTTATCACCTCCATCAGAATGTTACGGGAATGGAATTCAATACTTATGGGGAGGAGTGAATGACTAATCTCTATTTTCATAGATTGATTTAGAAATATACAACTCGTCACTTCAAGTTTTTGGAGATGATAGTTTGAGTAATCTCTAAAAGATCGATTAAAGTTACTTTGATACTTTTGATTTAACATCCAATATTGGATGGTATTATCTAACCAGCAATTCAAATGATTAATATGAATATTATATGTTTGTGAACACTATCTTTAGGGAAGCCCCGCTTGTTTTGCAAAACTAAATGAATTAAGCAATTTTAAGAAAAGCAACCAATAATAATAATTACGAGATCAGAGTTACAAATTCTCCTTTGAGGAAAACCTATGATGAATTGAACGAGTCAAAGGCAATAGCTGGTTTCTTATCTGCTCTAGTGTTTTCCATGGGTATGGCATTCATTCCAGCATCTATTATATCATACATTGTTAAGGAAAGAGAAATTAACATTAAACATCAACAGTTGGTATCTGGGGTTTCAGTAAAAGCATATTGGTTTAGCAATTGGCTTATGGACTTAGGAAAGCATGTAATTCCAGCAGTTGTGTGTTGTCTTCTAATTTTGGCCTTTGATATAGCTGCCTTGAGACAAGGAGAAAACTATGGATTCTCATGGTTGATCTTCTTTTTATATGGTTGGGCAATCATCCCCTTTTGTTATTTCTTTAGTTTCGCCTTCAAATAACAGGGTAATGCAATGTTATTGAACTTTTTCATTCATTTATTGGTTGGATCAATTGTCAGTTTGATAATTTACATTTTGAGATTGATAGAATCTACAAGAGATGTAGCCACTGTTTTATAATGGATATTCAGATTGATTCCATCCTTCTCATTTGCATATGGAATATTAAATGCATGTTCAAAAGATACTTATATGATAATTGAAGGATGGAGTGAAATGAAAAGTACTTATGATATGGCAGTAAGTGGTGCAGATATACTAATGCTTGTAGTGATGGGAGTAGTTTATACAATAAGCATATTCATTGTTGAGTATTTTGAGGATAATGGATAGCTGTAGAAATTGGGATCAAGCGAAGCCAGTATCCCTTACATTCCCAAACCTATTGACGATGATGTTGCTAAAGAAAAACAATTATGTGAAACATTTAAGCCTGAAGAGAAAGCCATTCTTGTTAAAGAGTTGAGAAAAGTATTCATGTTGGGCGAAGGTAAGCATAAGGTGGCTGTTGATTAGGTCAGTTTTGCTATTGATTAAGGAGAGGTCTTTGGTTTATTGGGAGTCAATGGAGCTGGGAAAACTACTACTTTTAAGATATTGTCAGGAGAGTTAAAACCTACAAGTGGAGAAGCATTTATTGCAGGCAAGAGTGTCATTACTGATCTTGAAGCTGCGAGGGTCAATATTGGATATTGTCCTCAATTTGATGCCTTATTGGATAACCTTACTGTCAGAGAACACATAGAACTATTCTCGGATATCAAAGGAATACCGTACTATAAGAAAGAGGAATTAGTTGAAAAGAAGTTGAATGAAATGGATTTAAAGAGATTCGAGAATATTCAATCAGGCTAACTTTCAGGCGGCAATAAACGAAAATTGTCAGTTGCCATAGCTATGATAGGGAACCCTCCTATTGTCTTTTTGGATGAACCTTCTACTGGTATGGATCCAGAAGCAAGAAGATTCATGTGGAATGTTATCTCAAGAATCGCCACCCAAAGAAAACAAAGTACTATTATTTTAACTACTCATTCAATGGAAGAAGCTGAAGCATTATCAACTAAAATTGCTATCCAGGTTAGTGGTAATCTCAGATGTCTTGGATCGGTTCAACATATCAAAAATAAATTTGGAAAAGGATACGAAATTGAAGTCAAATTAGAAAAACCTTAAACAAATGAAATTCAAGAATTAATCCAATAGATGCAATTGTAAGGCAGTACGAGATTAGACTAAAGCATGACTTTTGAGATATTGAAAAAAATCAATTAAAATCATTTAGAATAAGAAATCACAATGAAAGGATCAGGATCACATATTTATAATGATCTCAGAAAACCTAATCTATTGGCAATTGAAACACTTGCAGAATATATTATAGTGGAGAAAATGGGTGATCTATTGTAGAAATTTATTCAGTAAAGCTTTGGATAATTTGAAATCATTGAGCATTTCCAAACTTTCTATAGGTTTAGACTACTTGGATAAATTACTGTTAGCAAACTTTTTGAAGGATTCGAACAAAATGTAATTATTTTATTTAATAAATTTAGAAAAAACAATATAGAATTTCTTAGTACTCCATAAAATAAGCATCAATCGAATAGATTTTCAATACATTTGCACTTTAGGATTCTCAACAACAACAAGTCGATGGAAACGTTTAAGGAAATCAAATTGCAGTTTAGATTTAATAAGATTCTTGATTTGTATTTTTGTAACAATACACTAAATTTTATTTATTAAAATTTATAAACTCGCTTTTAAGTAACTTAATCTTCTTTTAGAAAATCTAATTAAATTTTCTTATTCCCTGTCATTCTTAAATATTGTGGCGAATTATAAATATTATTAAATATAAATAGGAATGATTTAATTTAAATTATATTATGAAAAATTAAATAAATCACTTTAATTTTATCAAAGATTCTAAGGTTTAATATTTGATGATGTCGTCTGCTCGTTTAGAACTTTTACTCCTTTATTAAAGTTCTAGTGGTTCAATTTATTTATAATCTATCGATATTTTAAATAGTTATTTATACCTCTATTCTTCTGAATCATACTATTATTCTAGGAACTATTCTTCGAGATTGATTATAATTAATCGGTGCGCTTTTTATCCTATTGTGTCACATTATTAATCAGTTCATTTATAGATGATAGTGAATTATGTTTACTTCTCATAATTTAGTTATAGATATTGTTAAAGTCCTTTTGTTGCATGGATCTAATCACTTCTGATTTTTATTTGGTATTTGCATTATTGATAAAATTATAATAATTTAATTTTTGAGATGATTATGTAGGTATTATTAGATCTTACTATTCTTTTAGAAATTACCTTGGATTTGATTAATGTTCAGAATGAGAGTTTAAATGCCTTGATTCCTGACTAAGTCCATTTTTTGTTAGATTTTATTATTAATTAGCTTATTTATTGATAAGAGTCTATAAATAGTCTCTTTAATTAGAGTCAATTGATTTTCTTTTGTTTTCTTTTTCCAAATTTTAAATAGTTGACTTTAAATTATTGACTTCCTATTGTAACTATTTCTCTTTTTCATTCAACTCGTAATTTTCTCTTTTCAATTTCTATCATAATCAGATTAAATGTATTTACGCTTATATTATTTTTAGTTGTTTCCAATAATTCTTATCTGATTGATTCGCTCTCATCCAATTTGTTTTAGATTGATTCAGCAAATAATTTTAATTGTTATTCAACCTAAAACTTATCATAGAATGGTTACACTGATATGATTGCGAATTTCTTATTCATATTTAATGAGATTTTATTCTAACTTGTCATATTCTTCATCATCCTTATAGAATTAAGACTTATTCTAATCGTTGCATTTATCCAATTTCCTTTGGATTTTGAATAATAATTTATTACTTACAACAGTTTCTTTTCTATTTTGAGCATTAGTTTAGTAAATATTACTTTTATTATACCAACCAAGTAGGACAAACTTTCGTAGTCTTTCAATTCACTTTCAATTTAATTGAGCTCCTCTTTGGTTTCAATGTGTTTCTCGGCATAGATTAATATTCTCTCAAGCAAATCCTTCAAGTTATTTTCTAACTCTTTGTCTGTTGTTGTGAATGAATTTACACTTGTCGGAGTTTCGTCCATTTTATTAATAAATTATATTTGTATTTTCTTATAATGTATATACAAATAAGAAGTTTTCTGTCTTGAATTAATTAAGGCACCCAAAAAGATATCTTCATTGAAAATACAAATAAGATAAATATCAATAAGTTTCTATAATATTATTTATTGTTTAATTATAAATTATTAATTTTCATATTTTTATATATATAATTTAAATGTGAAGATACACCAGGTTGAGATCAATAAATTGCATTAATCTCTAAATATTAAATTTATAGATATAATCACTACTACAAAGAAATCATTTATTAGTTGATGCTTAATAATTATCTTAAGAAATTTGATTTTTGGTATTCTATTTTTTGATCAGATGAGTTTTGAAATTTAAAAAATTCTCTATCTCCTTAGTAATCTATGTTGCCAAATCAACAAATGAAACAATCAACATCGGAAAAGCTTCCTAAAAATTTGAATCCGATTGGAGTTCAGTCAATATTATATTTGATATTCTTTACATTAATTACACAAATGTTATGGCAAATTTCTCGTCATTATGAATTAAATAATAATCACTTTCTTCCACTCTCTTTATTATCTTCTACTCCCTCATTATTCTTTTAATACTATTCTATATAAGTATATTTATATTGGATCTCTAAATAATACAATTATTCAATTATTCCCTGGTGTGGGCTGGCAAATGATCCAAATTACCCACTAATCCTAAGAAATCTGTAAATTTTTTATATTAATAAAGCAATTCCTTAACAGATTACCCAGTTTCACTCCTTTGTTCTGGCGGCCTGGATTATGGTTAACTCATCGATTGCACTTGCAAATATGGTTATTCAACTATATTCAATTCCTATTATTGCTATTTCTATTTTGGCTATGGTTTTTTTCCAGAGCATGCTCCTCCCATATTCGAAGACTAAGATAATAACTTAATTAAATTACTTAAAAATTTATAAAACTTAATCAATCATATTTCTCCCTTTGACCTGATCTATTTTAAATATACACGTTTTACCTATCCTTTTTCACACATACAGTGCAAGATATCGTGTCAATCTCCAGCATTCTGAAATTATTAATAAATATAATCCCAATTACTTGCAGACTACATATTCAATATTACTTCATCTACTTTTATATAAATGACTTATAATAAAATAAAATAATTTTAATGGTTAATAGTTCTATAATTAGTTTACAAATATTTGAGCATGCTTTAAGCATTACCTCAAGAAACTGCCCCTGCTAATCACTCTCACTCTAATTATTTCATTTTTCCAATCAAAAGAGTTAACCCCTAGAATTTCTCAAAATTGTCACATCCGAAAAAACAAATCAAAAATTCGAATAACAAAATAGTAGTTATTACTCTATTTCCTAGATCAGTTCTACATTATTATTTTAATCTAGTTATCCAAAGTAACACCCTAAATTAGCATCAATAATTGGGTGGAATTCAATTTCAGAACACAACTATCTCAATACGAGTAGGTGCTCCATAGTGTGATTGCTATTCCTTCATTGTCCCTTGCATTATTTTAGTTATATTTTAAAAGCATTTGTATAAACTATTCTAAATTATGAAATTATTCAATAATTTAGAATAAATATAAATCTGCCAAACTAATATTGTGCTATTGTATTTTTTGTAAAATTATACTTCTAGATGTTTAATATTAAAATTTTGAGCTCTATTTAGGACTTTGAATAAGGCTTTTTATGAACACAAAATAAGATTATTTTTATAGAATCAAAATGTAAATTGTGGAAATAAATAATTCTTTAACACTAAATGATTTATTATTTATTTTCTATTTAAATATTTATTTTTCATCTAATTAAAGAGTATTATATGCTTAATGATATCAGATATTTCACTTAATAAGGAATAAAATTTAAACATTAACAGTCTACCTATTTTATCATTTCTCAATAAGTAGAGGAAGAGATCCATTCAATATGTTAAATTTAAGATGCAAACAGTAAAAATACATAAAACCTTTGCTGAATATCAAGTATTTTTTCATATTATCAATATTCTAGATTGAAGTGAATGAATAAGGAAAAATATGGATTATGGAAATACGCTATAGTACACTGTGGCAATTCTATCAAAAACTTAAGAAACTTTTTGGCATCTAATTGACCTTTCCATCCAAACACATATTCGGGAACTTATGTCCAGATACATTGAAAAAAAGAGCCATCGGAATTCAATAGTTTCTACAGGAACTGAGCAGGTAAATAGATAGTTGATTTTGTTTAGTAATTATAAACTCATTAATTCTGACGAGTGCTCTTAATTTCTGACGAAGTAAAAACACTATGGAACCCACATTATCGATCTTACTGAAATAGAAGAATTTTCATTGGATACCTGACTAAATTTTTTTGTAATTAATACTTACTTTATACAATTATATTGCTAACAAATAATAAATTCTTATTAAAATAATGGAATCATTTAAAGAAGTTTTCGATTCAAAAATAAACGCAAACCAAATTTGAATTAATCAATTTCTTAAATTTTTAGACTGATCTATAAGTGTGAATTGTTCTAGATTGGTTATGGGAAGGAAAGAAAATCATATATTATAAGGGCTTTCTTTATATAAGTAATAAATTCATTGAAATTGGATTATTTGAGAAATTAATTAAATCTGTTAACAATTTCAAATATGTTTTGTAGCAAACTCAACTCAAAAGCGTCAGACTATTTAAATATACTTGATGTGTCATCATGCTCCAATAAATCCCGTGGATCGTTTAAAGAAAATCAACCTGATAATAGAAGTAAGAATTTTAATTATCAAAATAGATTTTACTCCCAAGAACCCTAGTAACAGGCCTTAAACAGCTAGACTTGACTATTCCAATCCACAAAAAGTTAAATAGTTTTTAAACAATTTGGTTTAGGATGAAGTTAACAAAGCTACAACATAGTTGTTTGGATAAAATGTACTTAAAAAAAAAGAAAATTAGATTTGTGATAACAAAGGGGATGGCTAATGTATTTAATATCCAATATATTTAGTTTCAAGTCGAACTAGTTATTTGGTCAAATAAAATACCCCTAAAAACAATGAAACCTTTCTGAAATCAACATTTATTGCTCCAGAATAGAATAGAGAGTTGGATCATCGATACTTCCAAAATCTCTATTATCAATATAACAAGAAAAATGATTAGTCTTCTTCCTCTTCAAATTCAAAAGGAAATTTAAAAAGTTGTTAAAATACCCTTAATCAACTAACTAAATAGAATAACTAAAAGCATTCCACCCCTATACGTCAAAATACAATTAACAATGAGAATATCAATACAATTAATATGCTCCTAAATAGTAATCAGAAAAACGCACCTTAAAATTTGAATACAAAAAATCAAAACAGCAGTTCGAAAAAAACATACCCACAAATGATTAATAAATCATATTTAGAATCTTTCAACAGTCTAAAATAAAAATTAGATAACACAATTTAATCTAAATAATCTTCAAGCAAGAAGAATATGGAAAAGGTTATCAACATTTCACCTCTCAATTCTCCAAAATTAAAAGGAGATAGTTCAAACAATTATTCTTAGTGCAATGATTAAACATTTCAATAAAGCATAATTAAGTTACTCCTTGAAAAAGAACAATTATGGAATGACATTTTCCATCTGATTGAAAGTTCAACCTACTCCAATTTGATTTAAAAAAGTGACTAACTATTAAATTTAATAACTTAGATTAACGAGAGATAAAACGTAAATATCTTTTATTATTTGTAGAGTGAATATTTATTTAAAATTGAGCCAAAGATACTTGAGACCTTATTGTATGAATCCTAGGCTAATTTTATATTAATAAGTGAATCTTAAGATCAGGATAGAAATGAAGACCATAATGTCAAAAACCTTATCCAATATATTTTGAATAGCAATCTTTATGTTTTCTAAGTATTGCAGGGAACCACACTTAATCATTAAGTTTAAAATTCTATAAAGCAAAGAATTGAACTTAGATGTTAGAATTCTAGAAAATAAAGCACTAAAGGAAGCCAAGGATTACAGAAAAATAACTTTATTATCAAGTCCATTTTAGGATTAATGTAATTTTTTTAATCAATATGATAGTTTAAAAGGATTGACGAAATAGTTCGTCCCGAAATTCAATTGAATATTTCAAACATAGCAAATACTTTAGATTAATTTCTTGCCCAATAGAGAAAACTATGTAGTTTAATAGAAAAATTGATTCCTCAAAAAATGGGAAAGGTGGGAAATGGAAATCAAAAAGAGTATACTTTGGTTCTAGATTTGGATGAAACATTGGTGCATTATCAAGAAGTAATTAAATTATAGAATAATTAGTTTCCGAAAGGAGGTGGATAATTTTTAGTTAGACCTTTCGCTGAAGAATTCTTAGAAGCTTTATCAAAATATTATGACATTGTAATTTTCACTGCAGCTTTGCCAGATTATGCTAATTTTATAATAGACATAATAGACAAAAATGAAGTTGTTCAATAAAGACTGTATAGAGATTAAACTGTTTTTAAAGATGAAGTTTACATCAAAGTATTGAATTAGATTTATATTATTAAGGATCTTTCAATTTTAAATAAAAATCTATCCAAAGTTATTATTGTTGACAATATGCCTGAAAACTTTTAATTACAACCAGAGAATGGAATTTATATTTAAAGTTGGTTTGGAGATGTTAAAGATAGAGCATTGAAAGATCTTCAGCCACTTCTTGAATGTATATTAATCATATTAATTAATAGAAATTGCTATAAAAAAGTGCAAAGATGTAAGAGTGGCTTTGAATTAATTTAGAGAACAGATGATAGAAAAAGTTTAATAGGGAATTAAAAATCCATATTAATGTCTTTAATTGAATTGAAATATTATCAATTTTGTTATTGGAATTAGAATATTTTATTTTTGGCCATAAAATTCATGTTATTATTTGTTGAAATTAGCTTAATTTCTTGATTTGAGAAAGATCCATAATATAGGGTATTGCAATAAAATCATAAACATTGTAGAATATAAAATTGCTTTCCAACAAAGATTAATGTTTACACCCTGTATCTTTTAAGTATCTAATTAGTCTATTCTTTCATAAGCTAGAATTATTAGATTGGGGTTAATTTGTAAATAATTTATAATTTATATGAATCAATTTGAATCCATAGAGGCAAGAATTTTGTTCTTAATCTATACTCTCTATCAGAACAATACCATATCTCTTGATTAAAAGGGTCTACTTAAAGGTACGTATTATTTGATAACTATAAGACAATTTGGTATCAAAAGAAAATGGCAGATTTATGAATGCTATTACATAATTCGAGAAATCCAAAGATATTGATTAATTATAGCAATTCCTGATTTAATTTATCGAAAGTAAGTTTCCTTATACATGTTAGTGGAGAACTCAATATCAGACTATATTTCAGTGAATTCTTATAAAACAATAAAGTCAACTAAACCATGTAATTTATGCAAGGAAACTACATAAAGTTCGAACACAAATTCTAACCCAAGTATAATGTTCTCCACCATCACTGTTCAAAAAAAGGAGGGAGATGCCTAGTTTATTTCTAGGAAAGATAAAAAATACTTAACTTAAATATCATGATTTATTTTAATAATGGAATAATTATTATCAATAGTAATTAAAGAATAACATCTCTTTAAATATACAGAAAATAGAAGAATTATAAAAAGATCCAATATATATAAAATATATTTCAGATATTTAAACACTTAAAAAAATATGATAGAGTCTTACATGAAACAGATCACGCACCTCTTTAAAGATTTAAGCAATCCATTAGAGTACAAGAAGAGTGATGAAAATGAGAAGACCCTATTGTACACTCTAAAAATTCCTTGATTATAAAATATAAAGCCAAGCGTTAAAAGTTTATTTGGATTCTTATTAAAGATCGAAGATAACGGATTTGAATATAAAAAATTAGTGGAATAATAATTCTTAATGAATTCCTAATATTCCTACCTAAATTAAAATTAAGAATTAGTTAATAGTTTTTAGGAGTCAAAAATTTTATATATAAATATCAATTTCAACTATATAAATTAAGTTTATTCAATAATAATTTTTTAGTTTCTTTTTCTCTTTCCAATTAAATTCGTATTTCATTTAACTATTTTCCTGATTCTCTCCTTTAGGATTCTAAATCTTATTAATATTTTTGTATCTTTTATTCAAAAGCCTTTTTCATGGTGTCAAATTCTAATTTTAAGGCTGCTTCATAAGAATTAGAAAATTATTCTTCAGTTGTGTATCGCTTTTAAAATTATTGATAGATTTCATCCTAATTAAATATATTCTAATACTTTAACTTGATTTAATCTATCGTTTGTTTCTTTCCATTATTAAATTTCTCTTTATAAACCTTCGATTATTGTTTACTTTTCTAACAATTCATTTCTTAATTTAATTAGATCCTAAATTGTATACATAAGATTACATTTTCTAAAGTTTTATATCTTTCTTTATATTCTTATTATGCTTTATCTAAGATTTTTTGATAATAATTATGATCTTTTGCAACATTATTCAATTAAGGTGATGCAGCAATTTATGCTTATGGCTAAATTTATGATGATTATAAAAGGTATTATTATTATTATTATTATTATTATTATTATTATAAGGTGTATAATTTATCTTCATACTAAGACTTAATAT